ATTAATGACACCAATATGATCAGCCTTATAGACTTACTGAGTCTTTCTCATTGAGAGAGAACGTCACACAGCAGTTTCCTGCTTCCTGTAGTTTTGCCTGAATCCTGCTTATTTAAAGCATAGATTTTCTCCCATGTTGTTTTTCATTTAGCTGACTGACCACTTAGATCCACCACTTAGAACAGTGAATGAGGTCTCGAGACTTGGGAATTAAGATGTGTGAGAAATTTTCTTCTTTCTTAGTGTACATTTCTTCTTTCTTAGTGTGTACTTGTTATCACCATAGAGACCATTTCTCTAATGAGAGATTTCACTTTCCCTGGTTTTTAAAGGTCATAGCTTCTCAAAAATGTGGATTTTTTTCTCTTTTTTTTTTCTCAAAAAAAGAATTAAATATGGTATTCTAATTCCTTTATAGGACTTCATAAAAAAAAAAATCACAACTAAATCATAAGCAAAGAGAGGGTATCATCAGTGGAGCTGATGGAGCTATCAGTAGAGGCAGATGTTGGGGGTTTTTGTACTGTGAAATAAAGTTTTCATGCTGTTGTGAACAAAACTCTCATTTGTAAAGGTTATTTATACTGATGGCAGAAATTATGTTTGAAACTGTGAGAAGTTAGCTTCTGCAGAGTAACTTCAAATTTTGAGGAGGTCCTCTAGCTCTGTAATTAGACCTATGTGTATTCACAACTGTTAGACACCTGAACACCTTTAATTTTTATTCACAGTTAGAAGAAACCTATTTTAGACATAGTAGAAAAGACTTATTAATATAAATGTCATTATAAATGCTGATTCAGCCTTGAAGCAAATATCAGGAGCTTCACCAGGAGGGCTTGTACAAAATGCATATTTCAGTTTATGTAATAACAATGTTTAATCCGTGTTAGTTCTTCTGGTATTATCGTAAAGGCAAGGGAATTACATGAGTAATGTACTTGATTTTACACTAGAGCTTTCTGAGTTCAATAAATGATTAGGCATACAAAATATCCCTAAAAACAGGAACCTCAAGGTGAAGAATTATATTATCATCTAATTCTATTGATATCCATGTAAATTATTGAGTATTTCTTTAGAAACCATAGCTGTCATAATATATAAAATAAATATATTTTACCCAGGTATATATTACTTGATCAGTACCATTACTTGATCAGAATATAAGGATTATATTCTCTCTGTAAAGATTTGAATTTTGAGTTGAGTTTAATTACTTACTGGGTCAGAAGTGAGAGGAACCTCTTTTGGAAGAATCCGACTGTATAAGGCCATGAAAAGATGAGAAGTCCAGGAAATACAGGGATGTTCAGGGATCACCACATTAAGATCATGAATGGTCTATCCCAATAATCAGGATATCAAGCAAAGTGGGAAAGGTAGCAAAAAAAGAAAAAACATCATGGGTGAACAAGGAGCTAGTGATAAAATTTTAAAGTTAAAAAAAAAAAGAAAAAGAGTTTAAGAGGTTGAAGCAAGGTCCCATGTCCTGGAAGAAATAAAAATGCTTAAAAAGGTGGGATTAGGAAAGCCAAAACCCATCTAGAGTTGAAACTGGAAAGATACGTGAAAGACTTCTACAGATGTCTCAGCAACAAATAGAAAAGTAGGGAAGATGGGGGTCTATTCTTGAATGGGATGGAGTCCCTGATGAAAGGGATGCAGAGAAAAGTGAATTAATAGATGTCTTCCTAACTACAGTTTTTACCAGTAAAACAATCTTGAACTCTGAGTCCAGTAGAAAAGTTATAGAGAAACAATGATTTGGCAGAGGACTAGGTGAGACAGCACTTAAACAAACTGGAAAAACAAAAATGCATGGGACATGATGGGATGCACGAGAGGACCTTTGAAAGGTCATGACAGCTGAAGAAACTTTCTGAGGCTGTAAGAAGACAAACATCATTCCTATCCTCAAGAACAGCAAGGAGAAGGATCAAGGGAACTCCAGGCCAGTTGGTCTCACCTCTGTAGCTGGGAAAGTGATAGAGCAAATAGTCCTGGTCACCTTCTCCAAATATTGGAGATGGTCAAGATGATTGAAAGTAGTCACCAGGTTTAGGCTGGATATTAGAAAGAGGTTCTTCACCCAGAGGGTGGTTGGGTGCTGAAACAGGCTTCCCAGGGAAGTGGTCACATCACCAAACCTGACAGAGTTCAAGAAGTGCTTGAACAATACTTTTGGGCACATGGTGTGACTCTTGAAGATAGTCCTGTGCCAGGCCAGGAGTTGGACTCAATGATCCTTGTGCGTCCCTTCCATCTCAGCATATTCCGTGATTCTGGAATGACCAGAATTTCTCTTCTTGTGACGTAATCTGAGCTAGTCAGGTGTTGGTCACTATACATTACAGTATTCCACAGTTTAATTAATACAGTCAGTATCCTGGCGGGGACCCCTGGTGGCCTAGTGGTTAGCGTGCAGGACTCTCACCTCTGCGACCCAGGTTCGAATCCAGCCAGTCCCCCGGGCAGATGGAGTCCGTTAGCCCTGTAAGGCCATCCATCTATGAGAAGGTCACTCTAAACAAACCTACGTCCTGAGGACCTCACTGCCATTGTCCAAGCTTGCTTGGCCCCGGCAGATGAACCTTAGGATTAAAGGGTGGGCTCAGTTCAGCGCAGGCTGTGTCTCACCTAAAAAAAAAAATCCATTGCGCAGGCTGGAAAGGTAAAAGACCTTTCCCCAAAATCTTTGTTCGCGAAGACTGGCCATTATATATATCCTGGCACAGAAAGAGGAAGGAACAGAATCTAAATTCTGTCTCCCCTACTGGCTAGACTGTATTCCTGCTTGACTTGAAGCAGCAGCTTGATTCACTTAAACTTATATTGATCATAAAACTGTGGGCTCAAAAACCCTTACTTGAGCTTTCTGCTGTTTCATATTAAACACATCCTGCCACTAGGTCCTATTTTTCAATTCTTTTGATGTCTCAGCCACACTATTCATCTCAAATTTCTTCTTAATGTATTTTACCTTAAGTCAATGAAAACTTTTGGTTACTTTCTCATATTTTTTTCTGTACTTTATCAAGAAATGCACAACTGATATTGAAGAAACAGTTACCACAAATGATGTGTGGACCTTTCTCTTTCCAAAATAACCAGTTTTAAGTAACATGTTAATTCACTTTCTTCACTGTTATACTTTTAGATAGTAAAAGCTGCAAGACAAAGCTGGAAGCAAAAACAGTCTTGAAATACTTATGAAACATAGAAAGCCTTTGAATTTGACTCACCCTATGGTATAATTGCCATGTAAATATTTTATAATAATTCATTAAAATACAAATATAGCTTATCAATTCTATTTTTACAGATTTCCCAGGATACAACCCTTGATAACAATTACATGTGCTTGTTATGTGTACCTCAGCACTTGTCTGAATTTTTTGTACATAGTTTGAAACTTAATTCAAAATGGGAAACAACAATGGAAGTCTCAAGGAACTTTACTTGGTTCAATGGCAAAATGAAATTCATTGAGTATGAACATAAGATTTGATAAAAGTAAAAATCTGAGAGAAATGCTTGGCTGGATTAAAATTTTTGTTAATTGTCTTTAGCAACACCAAGGAGAAGACTTGAATCCAGCTAAATATTATTTTGAAAACAAGCAGAGCTAGTAAAAACATCAATTATTAATTTTCTGGAGATTGGAGAAGAAATAAGGAATATAATTTGACATCTCACTTTTGGTTCTTGTTAAAAATGCACAAAAATCTTCCAAAGTTCCAACACTTTTGTTGGAACCATTTACAAATGTAACGTCCAATGCTTTTCTTCAAAAAGAGGTTTTCTTGGTTTTCTTTTAAAAATTGAAAAGAGTATGTAATAAGATGATGAGTTAGGAAATTGGAACTGCCTTTTTAAAAAAATTAGTGAAAAAAAAAACCAAAATGAAAAGTCAGCAATTTGAAGGCAATGCAGTTCTAATGTACTGTTTTAAAAGGTTTAAGGGTGTATAAATTGAAAGAATTGTAGTTGATAGCTTCATCTTTTATAATTAAATATACCAGATGAAGACATAGTAGAAGTTTTGACAAAAAAATATAATCTAGTAGCAAGGCATTAAAATATTTATCCCAAAATGTCTAACCTGGATAATGAACCAGAACTGATTCTTTCACTTTATAGATGTTCCTGTACCTAAACTATCTCACTACCTCCACCTTTAGACATGTATAGTCCTTAAAAAATTTTCCCCTCCATTGCCAGTGATGTAGATATAAATGTTTTCAAGGTACTGGGGTCAGAACTAACCCAAGCAATTCTTTTTCTTTTCACTGTTTACTTATATTGAAAGTGAAAACACCTGTGATGTGAATGTGCTGCACAAACCTTTGGACTTAAGTGCAAAAATAAGTCTTGAATTGAGTTGTTTTACTACTGTGACTTTAAAAATAGTATTATTTGTCATTCAATAGATGTGTTCTGAAGTGTTCGTTACCTTGAATCAGTTACTCATTTATTTCACAAAGGTAAAAATGCATTGAATGTTAATATTCTTAAGAAAAATGAAACTTTCTAGGGTAAGTAAAAATTACATAGGCTTATCAACAAAGTAATTAAAAAAACACAATATATAATAATATGCCTGTATTATAAAGAACATTACACTGAGAATTTAGATGTGTCGGATAGGGGAGAGCACAGAATGGGAAGGTATATTCAACGGGAGCAAAATTGTTTTGTTCCCTCATTACTAGAATGTTTTAACAACTATATGTACATGTATGGCTTGTGTACCTCCACTGTCTCTTTTATATATAGTTTTATCCTTTTACTGCTTTAATGGTATGGAAAATAACTAATATTCAGCACAAGTACTGCTGATTTAATAATTTTTAAAACAATATATTAATGTATATTTTGGTCTCTTTTTTTTTTTTTTCCCTTTCTCAATCTGTTCCCTGTGTTTGGCTTTGGTTGTGCTTTTGGTTTTTCCCTTGGCTACTGGTGCCTCTTGCTTCTTTTCCTTTCTATTTGGTCAGTTGTTTTTGGCCAGTTTGTGTTTTTCCAGACATCACTCCATGATGTGGTTGAAGTATATGATGGTCCAACTCTACAGTCATCTTTGTTATCCTCTCTCTCAGGATCTCATTCAGGTATCCTTTAATAGAACTGTCATTAAACTGGGTTTTTGTTGTTTGTTTTTTTGTTTATTTGTTGTTGGTTTTTTTTTAACCTAGAAAGATTTGTATGAAAAAAAAGAAAAATATGCTTGTCATATTTGCTTAGATTCAACTCAAGCAAACATATGAAATCCAGATGTTGAACTAAAAGCCTAAACACTATAATAAAATTAATTACAATTATATCTATTTTTTTTAGCTTTTTTTTCTTCTAATTAGCTATTTAGCTATTATTGAGGATATTTGTTACTCTGTGCCTTTATGGCTTTTATCTAATGAGTAGTTTGAAATGGGTAAAGTAGTGGCTATTTATAGCAAAATAAAATCATATAGATTAATTGCATATTGACTCAATTAAGAGAGCTAGGGGTTTGTTTTTTGTATTTTGAGTTGTTTGCTTTTTTTTATTTGGTTGGGACTTTGTATGTTTGGTTGGTTTTGGTAAAGAAAAAAACATCAACTACTCCTGGTAACTGAGAGGAATTTTAGCCCCTCCTTTTCTAGAATGACATAATACTGCCAACATAAAGTGTTGAAAAAGCATATATCTTGCAAAGTTTACTGAGGCAGAACAGGATTTGAGGAGTATTATTTCTAGCTGCAAAGAAGTTGACAGGTATTTTGAACTCATCTTTAGTAAAAAGTGGTTATAATAACTTTGTATTTTCTTTGTTTGAGTAGGTGAATCCCTTCCACTGAGCTCAGGGAACCAGATCACAGTTAGATTTACCTCAGTTGGACCAATAACAGCTAAAGGATTTCATTTCGTTTATCAAGGTGAGACAACCTAGAAAAATGTGTACATTTATTCTGTTCGTCACCATTCATTTATAAATCATCAGAGAGAAACAGACTGAGAATGCAGAGGAAAGCAATAGCCTGTTAACAATAAATCATTGTATAATCTACATATATTATATTCTAATATATTCTAAGTATTTTGATATTACAAAACACGTATTTCTACATGTTTTTTTTGTACTTAATAAGCATAAGAGTAGTTTCAAGTTTAAGAAGGCACATACAAAGCTGCTGTTTCTGTTTGCTAATCTGATTGACAAATTTTGGATCCATCTCGGTGTTCACACTGGTTTATCTCTCAATTTAAATGTGAATAGCTGTAAATATTATTACCTGTGGGTTAAAAGTGATCTTACTGTTATTAAGATACTTTTCTTGATTTACATTATTTGCTTTTCTATAGGTCAAATACAGAAATTGTTATATCTCAATACTTGCAACTTCATTCTTTCATTACATTTAAATCCTGATCTGACACTCAGAATACACATTTAGAAATTCAAATGTATAAATATAAGTATCTATCTGACACAAAATGTTATTTTGAAATCCTGTATTAGCTGAGTGTTTCTTGGTAGTATTTCTTATCAGTGTCATTTTAGAAAGGTTTTGGTGTGGATATTATGCATTACTTCTAATCTTGGCAAGGATATCTGTGCTATGCTCTTTTAAATAGTAATTCAGACATCAAAAGTGTGCAATCTCTATTGAGATTCATTTGGGGATTATGAAAACATTCTTAACTTGGAAATCATTGAATATTTCTTCTAGTAGTTTTGAATGTTTGTGGTTCAAAAATCTGTATTCCTTCACCAAATCTAAAATTAAGAATACACAATTGTTTGTATATTTGCAGCTGTTCCAAGAACAAGTGCAACACAGTGTAGCTCTGTGCCTGAACCAAGATTTGGAAAAAGGATTGGAAATGAATTTGCAGTTGGTTCATTGGTTCTTTTTGAGTGCAATCCAGGCTATATCCTCCATGGCTCAACAGCAATTAGATGTGATACAGTACCAAATGCATTGGCACAATGGAATGATTCACTCCCTACATGTGTTGGTGAGTTCTTAAGGCTTTTTAATAGAACTAATTACAGCCTAAAGTGTAGACCATTTCTAACTGAATATGTTTGTTCTTTGACATCTGTACAGTATTTTTGCTTACTTTCATTCACTTTCTTCTTCATTCAAGGACAAGTTTTATTCTCCTTTCAATTCTAACCTTGCTGTGACATTTCACAGGTTTCATGAACATACTCTGCTGCTATGAATTATATGATAGCTTCTCTTATATTAACATCACTGGCAGTCCCTGGCTGTCCCTTAATCAAGACTCAGAAATATTAGTTGGTGCCCTGACTTGCAAGACTAAGATACTCTCACATTGCAGATCTCTAGCAAGACATTGCAAGTTATTAGAAAGAAACTACTACACTAAAGATTTGGAAATAGTAACACTGATATTACATTACTTGCCAGGAAAGAAGCAGTAACATTTCAGGAAATATACTTTAACTGATTCTAGTTATACAAGATTAAAATCTCAAAATTATATTCTTAAATTAATATACATCCATTGACATTTATAAGCTGATTTACACCAAGTGGAAATCTAGTAATAGTAATGAAAATCCCTACAGTAAAGAGATAAAATTATATTTTTCCATAGGTTTATGTCAAGGGCAAATATGACATATTTACATGTTAAATTCTATTAGAATTTGGATTGGTTTTTAATATGGAAAAAATCTGTTGTTTAAAAATTAATCAAATTTGGATATCATTTGCACAAATGTTTTTGCAATACCATCAAACTTTTCCACTTGTACTATGTGTTGCACTACTTAACTGCATTATACATTAATTTTGTGCAAATTGAATACATTGAAAACTATTAATTTCGAGGATGAAGACATCTGAAGAACTCCATTCTCAACCAAAACAGTAAACATATGTATGAGTTATAGTTACTTTACTTTTCTTGATAGAGAACAAATTTTTTTATAAAAATTATTGCAACCCATTACAAAAAAGACATTATTATATTGACTCTAGCATTAAGAAGTACATAAACAGAGTTTTAGGTAATTAGATGAAAATAAAATAAAATAAAATAAAGAACATATTTGCATTCAGTTGATTTTTAATCTTCTGTGCTAATCAGCTGATGGTGCATGGTAGAGTGGTTTTCAATAAAGTAAAAGATTTTTCTCCAAAATACTAAAGTCTTGATAAAGATCAAGGTTAAGTATCAGTGGGGTAATATTTATAAAATATGACTAAACAGCTTTTATACACAAATATTATTTATTTAGACCATTTCAGGCACAGTAAGACAACTGTAATTTCTATATCAATAAGAAGATGAAGTAGGTAGCTGTATTTCATTTATTCTCAGGGATTACAGTTTAATCAATAGAACTGTACTATTTTTCCCCTTGAAATGTATTCCATTTGTTTTTTCAGATATAACAATTTGACAAAGTGTTGAAGTAATTGTTTTGAACATTGATCACAATATATTATTGATATTTTAACACGATTTAGTCTATTGAAGAGAAAGCTATCTGTCTCTAAGCAAGTTGGACTAGGAAGGGTTACAGGCCACCTTCTGTATGAGAATCCCTATGCCAATAGAGGTGATAGAATGCATATGAGGTGAAAATTGCATTGAACTAAATCATTTTAATAATTGAAGAGGTAGACATGACCATATTAAATTGCCTTAATCCTAGAGAATATTTCAATATTTCCTTACAGCTAATAGACATAAAATCACAGAATCATAGAATCATTAAAGGCAGAAAAGACCTCCAAAATCGTTGAGTTTAATCTTTGCCAAACACCACCATGTCAACTAGATCGTAGCACTAAGTGCCACATCTATTCATTTCTTGAACACTTCCTGAGATGGTGACTCCATCACCTCCCTGGGTGGTCCATTCCAATGCTTAGCCACCCCTTCCATGAAAAAATTCTTATTGATGTTCAACCTAAGCTTCCCCTGGCAGAACTTGAGGCCATTTCCTCTTGTACTGTCACTTGTTGCCTGGGAGAAGAAGCAGACCCCCAACTTGCTACAACCTTTTTCCTGATAGTTTTAGAGAGCAATAAGTCTTCCCAAGACTCCTTTTCTTCAGACTAAACAACCCCAGATCTCTCAGCTCCTCCTCATAGGACCTACTCTCTGGAGCCTTCGCCAGCTTTGTTGCCCTTCTCTGGACTTGCTCCAGCATCTCAATGTCTTTCTTGTAGTGAGTGGCACAGAACTGAACACAGGACTTGATCATTCTGTCTGTTCAATTTTTTAAACACTTTAAATGACACTAGCCTTTAATTTATCTGTGCAGTTCCAAACAGATTCTATCCATTATATGCCACACAAAATGTAGCTACAATATTTATTATTAAGATAAGTTGTATTCTTCCATTTTCTAAATTCTCGTATCTGCAGCTCCTGAAATCCCTTCAGAATTTAGTAGTGTTGCACAGAAGTGATACATTAGCTTCTAATGGATTTGACAAACCATCTCATCAATCTTTTCCTTCAACTGCTAAAATACCAACAGAATATCTGTATGCAGATTAAGCTTTAATATCCTTTGTCCCTGTTAGAGCATCTAATGATCTAGACAAGATGCATTCAAGCTGAACAAGAGAAACTTCATGGTACTTAATGTGCCTGTCCTGTTTCATGCATAACACTTTCATTAATCCATGGACATGGACGTGATGAATGCAGTCTTGCAAGGATTTTGCAAATTCTTTAATGATGCAATAGATCCACAGTCTGTAATAGAATAACTCATACAAGCAGAGAACAGTCAAGGAGTTCAGACTGGTGTTATTAATTATTTAGACAACAAAGTAGCAATACTAAGAAAAAACATCATCTTTTTTGGTGACACTTTTATCTTTTATACAAATACAACACACAACTGTTCAAACTTCATTGTTAACCCCTAAAAAATGCTATTCTTTGTAAGACTCTTAGGAGACAATGGAATGGATTTCACTTTGTTAAAGGTCAGGTAAATAAGGGATATATAAGCGTGATTCCGTCTGGTAGGAAACTGACATAATTCTAATCTTCCCTTATTCTTTATTAGTCAAGAAGGTTTTTGAGATATAAAGTTTTATTTTCCTGAGGCAAATATAATTTTTTTAATGTAGCATCAATTTAAAAAGTTTTCAGCCATGATAGCTGAACGTTGTATAATCTGTTATAACTTTTCTCACTTCTGAAGCTTCGTACTTCTTTTCTTGCCTTATACATTTCCTTTCAGTGCCCTGTGGTGGTATTTTAACAAAGCGCAAAGGGACCATTTTGTCTCCTGGTTACCCTGAGCCTTATGACAACAATCTGAATTGTGTGTGGAAGATCACAGTACCAGAGGGAGCTGGGATTCAGGTGAGTATACTTGCTAGTTGCTTGTTATCATCATAATTAGAACTGCTTTTCCTGATGCACGAGGATGAAAAGATTGTTTATTCACAAATTTTTCAATGTCTTTAATGATTCTTAAAATGAAATTTATTGCACATCTTTTTATTTACACAATGATTAAAAGTTTTTAAAAATCTTAAAAGATGCACTTGTAACTTTTTACTTAGAAGATAATCACCATAATTTTAAAATGTGTTATTTCAATAGATCAGTGACTTCTTGTAAACCAAAGGAAATAAAGAGCCTTCCTATGAATTCTTTTTTACTCTCCCAGAATTGATATATCTCCTTTAACAGAGTGAAATTAAGTAAGCTGCTTCCGTGGACAAGTTATATATGTTTTCCAAGAAACTCTGCTATTTACTCTATGTTTATGGAAATTCATTGTGATCTAAAGATGTTACAGTGTTTTTCAATATGAGATGGGAATTGATCCTTTAAAACAGTTTCAGAATTCTCCTTACTTGAGTAGATTAAGAACTTCATTGAACACATAGTAGGAAAGTATCCATTAAGCTATGTCATGCATATCTCACTCTAAAGAGTTCATTAAAGAAACTGACAGAAATCTGGTTATTGGAAAGGCAGCTGAGTTTAATAAATTAGGACTTTTAAGAATTATCTGAACAAATTCCTAGCAAAATGCTGTTCAAAAAACCTTGTTAGCAAGATGCGTCTCCTCAGTTCAAAATATAACTATTGTAGTGTCCTGGTTCTGGCCAAGGCAAAGGTAATTTTTTGCAGTAGCTGTGAGGGAGCGGAGACTGGAGTTACTTGAGATCACGTTTGAAAACTTGGGTGACTGATTTTTTCCAACCTGAGAATGCATGCAAGTGCAGATATTCAAGATACTGTGATAGGTAATGCTTTTGTGTTATGTGAATGTGTAAAATATCTGGACATTTTTCCTGACTAATATTATTTCCTCGAAGTAACAAAGGCACTTTCTCATCTTTCATTCATTCATGGGTAGGCTTCGTGAACGAAGATTTGGGAAGGGCACTACCCACATTTGTTACAAGTGCGTTGGTGGCTAAAAAGGCCAATACGAGATAGACATGTCCGGTTGCAAAAGGCACAGCGGAAAGACTCCGTTAGTGGTATATTCTGCAAGGCACGATTCTTTCTGTGTTGTCTTTTCTCCTAAGAGTGATCCTGCATGCTTTCTCAAAGGAAGCAGCAGCGTTAAAGATAATGTGTCTCCAGACATCCTGATTGGAGGCCAGAGTAGACCAGTTATGGTGATCAGTATGGCCAAGACTGAGATGTTGCTTCAGGGAGTCCTTGTATCTTCTCTTTGGGGCTCCTCTCTTGCAGCAGCCAGTGGCAAGTTCACCATAAAGCAAGATCTTAGGGAGGCGGTGGTACTTCATCCTTGAGATGTGCCCTGCCCAACGGAGTTGTGTTCTCAGCAACATGGCCTCAATACTTGTGATTGCTGCTTGTTCTAGAACAGATGTATTGGTCACATAATCTGACCAGTGGATGTTTAGGATTGTACAGAGGCAGCGTTGATGGAAGCGTTCTAGGAGTCGCAGGTGGTGATGGTAGATGACCCATGATTCGGAACCGGATAAGAGAGTAGACAGCACTACGGCTCTGTAAATACTGATCTTTGTACTTTTCTTCAAGTGTTTATTTCACCTTCAAGCCTGCACAGTGGATTTTTTAGGTGAGATGCAGTATGCACAGAACTGAACCGACCCTTTAATCCTAAGGTTCATCTGCCAGGGCTGAGCGAACTTGGATGGTGGCGGCAAGGTCCTCAGGATGTAGGTTTAATTAGAGTGACCTTCTCTTAGATGGATGGCCTTACGGGGCTAAGCGAGCTCCATCTGCCCAGGTTTGGGATTAGAGTTTCCTTCTCCTAGGATGACTGCCAGAATGCTAACGAACTCATCCTGCCCAAGTATGTATTATATCTAGCCTACGGTTTTGACCTGTCTGGCATGGACGACCCTACCGAAGGGATGTACCATCGCCAGTGTAGCTCGCAACCACATAGGGGTGCACAGGCTTCATTCCTATTAGAACGACTTGGGCAAGTCTCATCTATAAAGGAGATAAAATAATATATCCCTAACACATATTTTTCTGTGAAATTTGGATATGGAATTTTAGGCTACTTAGGTGGAACAGCTCTCTGTATGTATGATTACTTTGTTGAATTTACTGAAATATTGTGATCAGATGTAAATGCTGAGCTGCCCCATATCAAATCAAAAAGCAGACATTTAAAAGTATATTAAGGTAAATACAAAGTGTGCACCAAAAGTTTCCCTTTGGGCACATAACTTAAATACCTTATATCAGGAAATTAATTCAACCATAGTTCCTTCTAAGGTTAGGACAGAAAGTCACTTTGAGTAAATAATTCAAAAAACCTAATACAGACTCTGACTGCAATCACTGCCTGAAGGGATGTCTGCCTATTTATTGACTGCATGTTAGGGCAACTGCTAGTTAGAGCAATTAGCTTCAGTTTCACTAAAATAGACGTTTTGAATTAGATGTTTTATGAAGAATATAAAAACTATAGTTAGCATCAGTTTGTCCCTGAAAACACCTAAATGCCAGATAATTTGAAATTTGTTCTGAAGGTTTCTTGTGTGCCTGTGATCCCCATTCTGTACCTCCTCAGAAATATTCTGACAGAGACAACACCTATAAGTTTCATTCTGAATCCCTTGTGAACCAAACAGACAAGTATCATAATTTTCTGGGAGACCAGACCCAGTGGGCATCCTCCAAGTACCTGACACATGCCAACAGTCAGGGCCTCTGCAATGCTTCACTTTAAAAAAAAAGAAAAAAATCCTTTGCCTGTAGTATATGACCAATTCCTACAAAAAAGAACAGTATTTAAAGCCCCCATCCAAGAAATAAATAGCCAAATTAAACATTCCTTTTATGTAGAAGGCCCAAGTCATATATTTCACATAAAAAAATAACTTCATTACTTACTTTTACTGGAACTGCTGCTTATTTCTTCCACCGAAGCTATTCCATTTTGGAGAAAAAAAAAAAAGAAGAATAATTGAGGCAGAAGAAACATAATTCTCCAACTTAATGATGAAGGTACTCATTTCTGAGGCTGGCTGAGGTTTCATCATGCTTTTGTCACTCTTTAAAAGCTTTTCAGTAAACAGTTTCACTAAAAAATAAAAAACACCAGACTCTTTCCCCTCCAGAAGAGGAACCTGGTATTTCTCTACTTTGTGAGGTGTAATTTCACTATATGAGAACAAATATATCCTCCTTCTTGGAGTCTTACCACTTTGCATGTCCTTATGAGAGGAAGCATGTTGACACCTTGTCACGTGAAAAGGAGCAGAAATGAAGGATTTTCTGTCCTATCTGTATTAATATATTTTTTTGTCTATTAGTGTCCCCTTCCCGGGATTTCTAAGCCTTTAAAGTCTGAAAACAGTCAGTCAGCATCTCCGTAGGGGGAGACCCTTTGTTTGACAGTTTGACCACTGAGATGGACAGGACTTTTGATACCCTATTTCTGGGGACTGCTCTTAATAGCAATGGAGAACCTTCTCAGCAAGTTTCTCCTACGAGTTATTCTGCTGTCGACAAGCCTGCCAGCACCGAAAAAAAAACCCCAAAAATGGACTAACTCTTAGCAGCTCATGAAATAACTTTTATTGATACAAATCTGTGACAAGTTATAGGGTTCACATGATCAGTGATAACATTTAACTGCAAAATTCTACTTAACTAATAAAACCTCAAACCAGAAGCGTGCTCTCCAAAAACAACATAACTCCCTAAGAAGCAGTAGATCACTTTAACACCTCAATATAAAACTCAAGCAACCCACCTCCATGACAGACCAATTTACAAAGACTAGTAAAAAATCTAAACACACTCAGTAACTCAAGGCAAAAAGGAAAGAATATTGGCGCTTCTCACTAGCATACAGCTTAACTCTCTAAGACCAAGAAATACAGACTGTAAGGCAAAGCACATACAATGAGTCGGAGTACATGATCTAAGGCAATAAAGCCTGGTAGTCTATAAGGTATAGGGCAAAGTAAAATTGGTAAGGCAAAGTAAAATTAGTATCTATAAGGTAAAGGTCAAATATCAAATTAAGAGTAAAGGGGAAAGCAAAAAAAGCAAAGTACAGTTAATCTATAAGGTAAAGATAAAATATATATAAGGCAAGATATAAGGAAACAAAGTACAATTAGTAAAAAAGCAAAGTACAATTAGTAAAGGTGAAAGCAAAGTAAAATATAAAAACAATTGCTCACTCTGCAGCATCCTGAGGAGTGGAAGGAGAAAAGGTAGCTCATCGGAAATGATGGAACTTCTCCCCCATTTTTGCTCATGTCCAATTTCTTTTTATACTTTTTCTTTTTAGGCAGTTTGAGTGACTATAGTCAATAAACTCATTTTTGGGGTGATAGACAGATGACATAGGCCTACGGGTCTGCTTCCTGAGTTCCCATCAGGTAGGATGTTTGTGAAGAAAGGCCATGCTATCTCCATACTATTCCATCCTTCCTTGATCCTATCAGTCTGTTGCTGGGAAGTCTCACCCAGGTGCTAGGGTCTTCGGGGAGGCCATCAGCAGTCTCTTTGTCCTTTTTAGTGTAGCCTTATCACCTTACAATGGGTTTCTCAGAATATCCCCTCCAGGTGCCGAGGTCTTTCTGTAAGCACTGAGAACTGTCATTGCGGCCTTAAACTGGTCTATTACCTTACACACCTCTGGAAGAAATGAAGTGACTATTCTGCCTTTTATTTGTAGCATTTTAGTGACTGCTCCTCCTCAGGGGATGAGTCAGTGATGGAGGTAACCAAACACAGCAGGTTGCTCTTTCCTGGAGGCAGAATTGAATAATATAGGTGAAGAAGCTGATATTGATGAAGAAGCATGCATCAGGATAGGACTGGTTTATTCATGAATAAACTAGAGAGAAACAAAAAGAAGTGCAGGAATTGAAGATATCATGTTTTGTCTTCTCCTCAATGTCCTCCAAACAAGGAAATCATATTCTAAACCCATATGATTTTCACAGTTGTTTGACTCTTGTCAGAGGTAATATGTGGTAGTTACATGATTTACAGTTTGAACTGGCAATCAAATAAAAAAAAAAGTTGCCTTTTTATTCACTTAGTGGTGATTTTCCATTCTCTTTGACAAGGAGAGCAAGACAACTTTTCATGACTGAAAGCAACAGAGGCTACAATTTAGAGTTGTCTTTGAGCTTGAATACAGAGAGGAAGTTTATGTTCTTTACCTCACATTTTTCTTCATAGGTGCAAGTGGTGAGTTTTGCCACAGAACACAACTGGGATTCCTTAGACTTCTACGATGGTGCTGACAACAATGCTCCAAGGCTTGGAAGTTATTCAGGTGACTGAGAAGATTTTACAATAAGTGGTTCACAGATTCAACTCTTTATTGTAAACACACAGCTCTTTCTGGTTCTTGTGTGTGTGCGTGCGCGTGTGAGCGTGCACAAGCACAGTGTGTGTGTTTGTTTCTCCTGTAATTCACTATAGGTAATATTTCTTTTTTAATCAGTCATCACTTAGCAGACTTTCATAAAGCTATATATTTGAAAATGTTAGAAAGGAAATAACATTCAGAGACTCCCACACTAAATCTCTATTAATCCAAATTTTTTCCCAGTCTTATAGTAGGGTCCAGAAACACAAACATCAAAAATAGGTTTCTCTTGAAATTTTACATGACAAAAGGATGCATTGTTTATCCTTATTTTAGATAAAGGAGACAGTTCTGTTTGCCTTACTTTTTCTTGTTTTCTTTTGTTTTTCTTCATTCTACTTCATATAGGTATATGGTATGAGATCAGAGATGATAATATTGTCTTGTGCTGAAACACAAATAAATATTCACATTTCTAAGAACAGTTCTACAACATATTTTCAGAGCTGCTTGATATATGTGACTGTTATGTTTAAAATTATTCCTGTTACAGGATTTGTTCTTGCTTTTAAGAAAACCCTAGTGAATATTTCTCCTTTTGTAGATAAAAGCATGTAATATAAATTTATAGTAGACTTTGCTTGTCTACAGTTCAAGTCTCTGATATTGTGGCGCACTGAAAATGTAATAAAAGTTTTATGTGGATAGCATCCATGATGACAAAATGTTGTGGAATTGGTTATGTGATCTATCTTTCTCCCTTCCATCCTCTCTCACCTCTTTCTCCTTTTCCTCTCCTTCACTCTCTACACATACACATACTTATGTATGTATTTATTTCAGTTTCTGTGCATTTCAATAATGTTTTGAATTTTCTTTTCAGGAACAACCATACCTCCACTTCTAAACAGTACATCAAATAATCTGTACCTAAATTTTCAATCTGATATCAGTGTTTCAGCTGCTGGATTTCACCTTGAGTATACAGGTAATTCAGAAATATTCAATTAATAGAGAGTGCTTGCTGCTTCCAGACATCGATTGTATCTAAACCATATGAAAGAGGAATATTTAGTACTATTGCGCAAAATGAGCTACATATTGTTACTTCAAAGTCATTAGTAAAATCCTCATTTAATTTCAAGTGACCAAATTCAGACCTGAAACTTGTACTGTGGGGACTGTGAAGTTTAGTTTGTGTTGCTTTCATCTTTAAGTTGTTTTTGCTCTCGGAAAAGTTTTTCTGAATCTACATCAGCCAGGAGTAAATGCAGATATGCTCATATGACAATCCTAATCGACTGTGTCCAGTGCAGTCCTGGTCTCTTCCCACAAGTGACACCCCTGCAGCCCCACAACACACCGCTCTTTGCCAAAATCTACAAATTATGCTCAATACAATAACATATGTACTGTACAGTATGTATGTGTAGGACACAAATACTAGTCACTCGGCAAAAATGAGAGAATGAGTAAACTGAAAATAGCAGTTGTGCTTCTTAACTAACTGCGAAATACCTGCAGCTTGGTGAGCACACAGAATTATTTCATATGTTTTTTATTATTGCTGAGTACCTCACAAGTAGAAAAGACTGTAATTTCTGAATGACTTTGCTTTAGCTGACTGACAGGAATTCTGGCAATCACTAATAGTTTGTTGCAGATTTGCGAGTTTTTGGTTTTTTTTTCCTTCCCAGCTGTGCAGTTCCCTGTGCTTATATTGGTTCTGGTGTCTGATCTGCATAATTGTGTCACAGTTATTTCTTGTCAGTTGTACCGTATGCAAATCTCATGCTCTGGTTGTCTGATTAGCCAGCTGGAGAACACAGCCTTGCAAAATTGCTACCTGATCACTTGTCTATAACTAAACATTAATTATAGGTAGAATTATCCTGCCATTTCCTTGAAATGCAGGTACTCTCTCAGCTACTTACAACTTTGAGTGGGGAAAAAAAGAAGGAAGTTATGAAAATGAAATAAAATAAGACCAAATCTAGTAAAAGTGAAAATGCATCTTTGTATTCCTACATGTCCAAATAATGTGTGTAGTGTACTACCTGTATACAATTTTCACCTCTAAAAAAAGAAAAAATTCACAGTATACTATTTATAGTATTGGTCCATGCTGAGAAAAATAGCCAAACATGGGTGTATGGATTTTATAGAGGTGTATGTGTATGAATCTGTACAAAAGTGTGAATGTTTAAACCCAAAGTATATGCTGAAAATTTCAGATTCAGAAAATAGTATTGATGTCCCTCAGTAGATACCAAATTAACCAGTAGCTCAGTGAAATATGCTATTTTACAAGATAAATGAAAAGTAACTTTTCACAGAATCGCACAGAATCACAGAATCAACCAGGTTGGAAAAGACCTCCGAGATCATTGTGACCAACCATTGACCTAACACCACCTTGTCTACTAGACCATGGCACTATGTGCCACATCCAGTCTCTTCTTAAATACCTCCAGGGACTGTGAATCCACCACCTCCATGGGCAGCCCGTTCCAATGCCAAATGACTCTCTGTAAAACATTCTTTCTAATGACTAAACCTCCCCTGACACAGCTTAAGACTGTGCCCTCTTGTCCTACTGCTAGTTGCCTGGGAGAAGAGACCAATCCCCACTTGGCTACAACCTCCCCTCAGGTAGTGGTAGAGAGTGATGAGGTCTCCCCTGAGCCTCTTCTTCTCCAGGCTAAACAGCCCCAGATCCCTCAGCTGCTCCTCGTAGGACCTGTGCTCCAGTCCCTTCACCAGGCTTGCTGGCCTTCTTTGGACACGCTCCAGCACCTCAATATCCTTCCTGAACTGAGGGGCCTAGAACTGGACACAGCACTCAGGGTGCAGCCTAACCAGTGCCAAGTACAGAGGCAGAATCATTGCCCTGGTGCTGCTGACCACACTGTTCCTGATCCAGGCCAGGATGCCATTGGCCTTCTTGGCCACCTGGGCAGACTGCTGGCTCATGTTCAGCTTCCTGTCAATCCAAACTCCCAGGTCCCTTTCTGCCTGGCCAGGTCCCTCCAGCCACTCTGTCCCCAGCCTGTAGCGCTGCAGGGGGTTGTTGTGGCCAAAGTTCAGGACCTGGCACTTGGCCTTGTTGAACCTCATCCCATTGGAATCAGCCCACCTATCCAGCCTGTCCAGGTCCCTCTGCAGAACCCTCCTGCCTTCCAGGAGATCAACACTCACCCGCAAACTTGGTGTCATCTGCAAATTTGCTGATGGTGGACTCAATCCCCTCATTCAGATCATCAATAAAGATATTAAACAGGATTAGGCCCAACACTGATCCCTGGGGGACATCGCTAGTGACCGGCTGCCAACTGGATGCGGCACTGTTCCCCACCACCCTCTGGGCCCGGCCCTCCAGCCAGTTCTTAATCCAGCAGAGTGCCCCTGTCCAAGCCATGGGCTGCCAGCTTTTCCAGGAGCACATTTTTTTCTCCTTATATAACCGTTTTTCCAAAATAATATACCACTTGCTAGTCCACAGACAACTGCTGGTACCCAAGAGCTCCCTAAAACTTATCAATACAGTGTGCTTATATACAGTGTACAGAGAAGTTCTATGTGAATCTAAACCCACATTTTATGTTCCTTGGGACGTTTAAACTTCTCTGCTTTTCTCAGCTATAGGTTTGGATTCTTGTCCTGAACCACAGACCCCAAGCAGTGGAATCAAAATTGGAGACAGATACATGGTTGGAGATGTGGTGTCTTTCCAGTGTGATCAGGGTTATTCTCTTCAGGTAAGACAAGTTTCCAATTTCAAATTTCTTTTAATTGTTTCGCATGGTTATGTTTGTATCTGTCAGTATAAAATGGGCAATGAACTCTTTGCAAATTTTAAACCCATGATGAGTTTGCAGGACTGGTAGGCTTTTCTGCTAGATATTAAATTAGCAACTATCCAAATATACGCATAGAAGCTCCATCAGAAATGTATGGCTTTGTGCTTCCTCTGCATTAGTGATGATCAGTTATCATCTACTATTGATGGCATCTTTGGTACTCATAGCTGAACGGTGAAGTGTTGGCTAAATAAGTTTAATCGCTTTATGAACAATTAACAATAGTTGTCTATGCACAGGACAGAAAAGAAAGAAAGTAAAGAGTGGGAATAAGAACAAAGGCGAAAAATTGTTTTTCTTAGTGAATCAGATAGTGTCAGTTATTTTCTTTCAGTAATATCTTGAGGGGTTTTATCCAAAAAGTTTATCAAATAGGGCTATATTTTTGCCAAACAAATTTGCTATGTCCTTGCATTAGCAAAAGTTATAACCAAGGGCAATGCAGTGATTGGAAATCATCAATAGGAATATGTCTGCCTATAAGAAAGACCTGGAAAATATTTTCTAAAATTTGTACAGCTACACTGTAGAATCAGATCCAAAACTGAGTATTGTTTTCTCTTGACACACTCCCCAAAAAAACTTGTGTGACTCTGCAGATTCTACAGTCTTCCCTTCATCTAGCTCTTTGAGAGCCAAAAAGAGAGAAAATAATCACATTACCTATGCATAGCAAAAAGAAAAGTTTTTAACAGGGGGAAAATAATTTGTATATAACAGCACGTGATTAACCATTAATGGAGTTATTGGTGCCTTTGAAGCAAAACAGCAAAAGGAAAAATTAACTTCCTATTTTTCTTCATGAATATCAGTCTCATCTGTAACACGTTGATGAGTGTCAGACAACTAAATGAAGTTTTAAAAATGCTAATAATTTCAAATATGTCTTTTACATAATTCTCTGAAGACCTAAATACTAAGTTCGTATCTACTGCATCAAAAATAGAAATCGAATTATACTTTTTGACAAAAAAAGAAACAACCAACCTGCAGTTTATGTATAGTGATAGAAGCTAAATACACTTGTCTGCTTCTAGATTTCAGATGGCATTTGGATCTGGAACCTGTATCACAGTTTCCTCCTTCAAGATAGAATTCCTAGACATGCCTGTAGATTTCTAGCATTCCAAGAATAATTGAAATAAATGTTCTGTGATTGCAGCTTTGATAATGACTATTGAAATTTATTTCTTATGTTGCCTGATTTTAGCTGGTCATTCTTGGGAACAACCTGATGGATTTTTTTTATTCTCTGCTTGAATTCCACACTTAAATACAAGTTTATGAGCAGATAAGCCACAGTAAATGGGTGAAATAAAGAAAATAGACTGTGTAAACACCCATATAAAGCTTGTTCCCTACATATTGTTTCTCTGGCTTGTACAGTGTGACTATATGGTGTTGCAAGATATCCCAAGGACAGTTTTCTCTTAAGATTTTCTATTTTTTTTTTGCTGTTGCCGGAAGACAATTATAATTATATGAGTCTGATGAACAACACAGACGGTGTCCCTATTACAAATTTAAGATGTACAGTCAGCGGTGTATAATTTATATAGTTTATGTCTTTTTATCATGTTCAACAAATAAAGCAAATCAATGCCATGTAAATATTGCTTCAGTTAGACCTTCAGTTTCCAGACCCTTGGTTTATACTGAAGTGTGTACAGAGGCCAGCTGGATATTGCTATACTTTTAGAAATAATATAAATGGCATAGACTCAATTATCTAGTCGACTTACAGTCACAGTCTTCTCTGTTATATGAAGGTATGATACAATTCACACTGTACAATTATTGTTATATTTTTGGGTTTATATATTTTGATGATGTATTAAATGATACATTATTTTTGTTGAGATATTAATGTTGTGCTGTATGCTGTATATTTTTTATACAAATTAGCACATATTGTGTCATTTTAGGGACATTCACATATCACTTGTATGCCCGGACCAGTAAGAAGATGGAATTATCCAATTCCAATATGTTTAGGTATGTTCACTTTACATAATGTTTCTTAAATATGCCAGAATGAGAAACCAGAGAACGCAAAATAGATACATGTAGGGGAAAGAATAGGGACAACTGGAATAACTTAATTAAATGTGAAAACGGTCAAATTAAACTAAGGGTTTTCAAAGGTTGTCTCAAACTTATATTGGCAAATCTTTTCTGAAATGTCCAAGTAGGAAAAGAAAGAAGTATGTTGTCTCTTTCAATTCAAACTGTATCATATGTATGATATGATTCTATATGTTTAGCCAGAATCTATCATCAATTCATTATCAGAATTGAGACCTCCAGAGACCCTCAAAAACATAGGTAATTTATTTAGGGCTCATTTCCCCAGAAAATGATGGCTATTGTAGTAGATACTAAAATAGAAATAACATTGCATTTTTATCTCTAATGGATTCAACATAGGCATGTCTACCCAATTTCAGAAAACACATTATTTGTCAAGTTATATTATATACATGTCCATATTAATATTACTGAAAAAAAAACACTGAAAACCTGTCAGAAATGAAAATGAAAAATCTCAAGTGTATTTAAATATACTCTCTTTGTATAAGGAATAAATGTGAGGAATTTAAAACTCCTTCTAGCTGTATTCTCTTTCGCTCCATAGAAAAGCCTTTTTGTTTGGGCTCCCTAACACTAAAAGTTATCACTATTTGTAATCTTGAATGTATGGAAAACAGAATCCTGCTCATTAAAGATTTTCTACTTTGCTTTTCTTGAAGACAGATTATATATCCTCTTGAACAGCCTCAGATAATCCTGTTCTTAATCCTGTGGGGTGTTAAAAACCTCCTATGAGGTACTGAGCTCCCTCAGTTTAGAATTTATAAATATTCAACAAGATTGAGATATTTGTAAGAATTTTTTCAGGAGTTAGTCTTCAGTTTCTGTCATTAAACATTAACATATGGTTAGGAAGTCTGGTATTATAATTGCACTGCTCCTGGTAAATTCTGAAGACAAAGACACTGTGCTGAAATTTTAGGAGGTTTTCTTTCCCTTTACTTTCCTTCTTTTTTGCAAGTAATGATTTTTACTTGTGTTTCAAATGATGTAGCAACTTTTACATGGACAAAGCTGTTAAACAAAAATTCTATTTATCATAATTAACACCTTTAAATGTAATATGGAAATCTAAGTTACTTTATTCACTGATGTCATGCCTTAAAAAAAAATAAGTTGAAATATGGATTTAGTTTGATGTCTGGAAGTATGTGTGTGTGTACCTTTTCGAAGTCTGTTCATTTTATCTCATTTTTAGAACAGTAGGATACAGATGCAGTTTTTAAAAGGCCTCTTCAAACACTTTGAGTACAGAGTCTTTAAATTACATTGTTATATTATTCAGATGCTCCTTTACAAACTGATGTCTCAGTGCTGCTATGAGCTGATCTGTACCTCTTGCCTGTCACAAAGACAGTTCATGCAGAGTGCAGAGTAAACATTAGGACAGTGAAACTTGTGAAGGGTCTGGACCACAAGTCATATAAGGAGGGCCTGAGGGAGCAGGGGTTGTTTAGCCCTGGAGAAGAGGAGGGTCAGGAGGAGGCATTTCAGATAATTTCTGGCTGCCCAGGATGGTGCTGGAGTCACCATCCCTGTAGGTGTTCAAGAAGTGACTGGACATGGCACTTAGTGCTATAGTCTAGTTGACAAGGTAGTGATCAGTCAGAGGTTGGGCTCAATGATCTTGGAGGTCTTTTCCAGCCGAAATGATTCTGTTCTCTTGTCAGGTGCCTGTGTTCCCTAAGTTAAAACCTAGTCAATTCAGATACCTGTTTTTAAAGTACCTACTTGTAAATTACTTTCTTATAGATATTTAGTGGTAAAGAAATATTTGTATGTTTTTTGAAATATAAACCTAACTATTATTGTATTATTAATGTGATGAGGATCTTCAATACTCTGGATTAGTTTTTAACTCATTTCACTCCTCTGAAAAAGGTCTTTGCCTTTTTTTTCAGCACAATGTGGTGGTGGAATGTCAGACTTCAGTGGAGTGATCCTCAGCCCTGGGTTTCCTGGCAACTATCCTAGTAGTTTGGATTGCACATGGACAATAAAACTGCCTATTGGGTTTGGTATGTGTTCCTTCGTAGACTAAAATTGGTCGGGCTTTTTTACAGATTCAAAATACTGAACATAGATTTTAAAATATTGTTAATCTTTATCCTATCAAAAACCAAAATTAATTATAATTCATTTAAAGTAAGCTACAAGGTTCTTGTTTTTTCATTTAACATGTGCCATAATTTTCTGATAAAGACAAAATTGTTTATTAGAATTAAGCACAATTTTCTAACTTAACAGGATTGATTTCTTTTTGGGAAGTCATAAAGGCAACAAAAAAAAAAAAGAGATCATCAATATTTCAAAACAAGTCAGTATCACTTTAGAAGTTAAAGCTACATTTGAATTAATTTTCATTTGCATATCCTAGGTGAATATCACAGCAGCACAAAAATGTTCCTTGAAAGGAACTCCAGAAGCCTCTCACTCAAAGTTGTCAAGCTTCCCACTCAGAGTAAAATTATTGCTAACAGTAGATCAAGGCCACTACAATGGGTAGAACCTTCTAGTTGGGGCTGCTACTCACCTATTCAATTCCCAGCCTATAACATGTAAAAATGTTGTGCTCCAGATGTAGAACTTTGCACCTTTCCTTGTGCACACCTTTAAGAAGGGTTTGTTTACTCCATTCTGAAGTTTTTCAGCGTTCATTGGACAGAAGTTGTGCCATTTAGTATATCATCCATGCCCCCTAGTTTAGTATCCTCCACATATTTGTTGAGGATGCATTCTCATTTTCTAGGTCTCTCCGGAAGACATAGAACAGTGTAATTTCCCATAGAAACCTGTGGAATATTGTGCTTGTTACTGGCTGCCAACTATTGAATGTCTAATTGTCACCCTTAGAGCCTCAAAGTTATGTTAATAATATTTAACATACTTCCTTTCCATTCATCAAATTCATGTTTGTTGAGCTTCCAAGATGAGAATACTATAGACCGAGTCAAAAGCCATAGCAGAGTGAAAGTATATTATATCCACCATTCTACCTTTGTCAATTTAATAATAGAAGGAAATAATGGTTGATTGACTGTTATTTTCTTTTAGCAAATCCATGTTGACTGCTCCTGAGTCCCTTTTTTGTCCTTTATGTGTTTGGAAATTGTCTCCAATTAAACAAGTTCCATAATCTTCCCAAGGACTGCAGTGAACCTGTAGTTGTCATTGCCTAGGTCCTCCTTCTTGTCTTAAAGGTGGATATGTATTCAGGCTTTTTCGAGTCACCAAAACTTCTCTTTTTCACCATGATTTTGTAAGGGAATTATCAGCATTTTAATTACACTGCCTAAACCCTTGAGCAACTTTGGGTGGATCTTGTCTATATTTTATTGTGAAATCTTTATTCAAAGCTAGCCAATACAGTTGTCCTATCTGATTTTTTAACACTTGTGGAACTTTTTTAGGAGTATGTATACTTGGATTTTTTTCTTTGTATGTAGTTGAATGGCATGCTGTTTTTTTTAGACATGCCTCACTGTTTTCTATTTTATACTTGCCATCTTCTGTCATATTCATTTCTGGGTCTTCCAGAGTAAGTGAGTGTGACATCTCAAACAGTCTTCCCTTCTGCATGTGTTCAGATTTTTTCCCTCCTCTTTTTAAAATCAATTTTGTGATATTTTTGATTAGAAATCCTATGAGCTTTGTTCACTTATTATTTAAATGAAAGCCAATTGTTCTGCACGAGTTCCCACAGAATCTATCTGTGGGAAATACATTACATTAGAATATAGGATTATTAGAATTAGAATATTAGAACCCAATTTGTATGTTTGCATTTTGTTCAAAAGACCAGTCAATAATTGATTTTTTTTGTATTATCATTTTATAGAAATAACATTGACACTTTAACTCTGTCACTACCTGAATCTCTAGACAGCTTGGTGGGACAGTTTCTAGTGTTTCATCATGAGTCACAATGCTGTCTAGAATCTTCAGATTCCAAGCAGATTCCTGCTCATTGAGTTATCAAAAAAACAAAAACAAAACCAAAAAACAAACAAAAAAACCAAACAAAAAACCCCCAAACCAACCAACAAACAAAAAAACCCATTAGTAGATACATCCTCCCTGGCTCAAATCTTCAGGAGAAAAGGATATTCAGAGCTATTAGGGAACAGGATACTTTGTCAAACGGTTCTGAAGACAATTGCTAATAAAGAAGAAATAATAAAAATCTGGAATATTGATTAAATTTCACATTTCATAAGCTGGTGTGTTCAACTGTATTTAGAACCTGCTGTCTTTTTTTATGTTGCTTTCTGCCTCTTGGCTCACTTTGCTGCTGTCCTGTTATTTCCAATACTGACTCCCTACTACAATCCATTTTTTTGCTTACATTCTCCCAGGCGTATGTTTCCAATAATTCTAATTTGACTCTTCAGACTTCTATTGAAACTTTTTATTATTAACATACTATTTAGTTTGACTTCCATTAGGCAGGAAATTCACCTATTCAAATTTTGGAAACAGTTTCTTTGATAAATAAGTTTAGCTTCACCAAAATCAATAGTTCTGAACTGCTTTGTCCTAACTGAAGTTTATTCACTGGATTTATCAACTGTTTTCCAGTTCATGTATAGGAAAATAAAATGCTCCTTTTTCTAGGAGAAAACTAAAACTGCACAGATTGAACAAGTGATTGACATTTTTGACCTTTTCTAAACGGGATCTGATTAAAACAGGATTGAAAATTAAAGTAAAATTTTATTTTAAAAAGAAAAAATATGACATTTGAAGAAGTGATGGCTAAAACTGGTTTTAGTGATGCTGTGATTCCAGTCCAGTGGGGGCACTTAATTCCAACTCTTCTGAGTAGTAAATAGAAAAATGCAAAAACACCATCATGGGAAGCTTCTATAGACTTTCACTTGTTTAACTGTTTCTAAGAATATTTTTTCTCAGTCATTAATTACAGATCATAAGCTTTTACACTGTATGCCAGCTAATAGTGTAATCTAAACCAACTATGTTGATGTACATATACAAATATATTTGTATATACAAATATTTTAAATGCTCTTTTAAACGGGTGCCCAAAATGCAAAAAGTCAGAGAAAAATTTAGTCCAACAAGCAGAAGTCTCAGACAAATAGAGACGGGTGCTACAGGCTGAGAAAAGGATGAATACTTGGGAATACTGCTACGGTTCAGGAACTTGTAGAGAAAGATAGTAGAGTACAGAGAGCAGAATGATGGGCAAAAATATATTAGACATGGTCTTGTATCAAAGAAAGTGGGTGAAAGAGGAAAAAAAACCTGACAGCAAGATCACAAGAGTCGGCAGTTATTAATGGCAGCTTAAACTTTGGACAAGTGTTTGGTTCACAGGATCAAATGAAAGGCCAAGCCTACAAATATCACAGAAAAAGAGAAAAGCTTGGATATAACTTGATTCTCTGTGTAGGAAATATTTGGAGGGCTGGCAAGGTCAAAGAATGACACTCATAAGCAAAAGTTTTTCTTATCACATATAGGGTGTCTTCTGATAAAGAAAGACAGAAATTATCAGGTTAATAGTAATTTAATTGTGCACCTATCTTTTTTTTCTGGTAGCACATAAAATGTTCCATGCTTCATAAAACCATTCACAAACTTTACATGGTATCTAGGGAGAAAACTCTAAAAGACAGTGACAAACACTATTTAGATATTACAGTCTAGGAGTTACAAAATTATTCATTACTTTTTCATAATTTATCTGATATTATATCTTTTCCTTTCAATTTTATATGAAATCATGTTGCTTGTCTTTGCCAGAAACATCAGTGGAGCTCAATCATCTTTCTAATGAAACTACTCCATTATCATTCTGTATTTGCACTAGTTCCTGACAAAATACAAATTCTACTTTGCTGTAATTATATAGAAATTTGTATAAACAGGAAAATGTTTAAAAGCCCTATAATAACTCAGCTGCTGAGCATTTTCTTCTCCTCCTGCCACATAATTATTGTAATACTCCACCTGGTTAGGAGAGATAACATGCTAATGGATAGTAAGCTGCCTCCCTGTTCCTTACTAAACCAAATAATCAGAAATTTCTGTCGCTAAGACCATCATATGCCACAGTGTGTGTATGAGAATTAAATAATTGAACTCCATGTTTAATGGGAGAGGGACTGATGAATGATGGTTAGACAATATGATTTACATTTTTTTAGTGACTTAAAAAGAAGTGTTATAAGTGCAGCCACCTCCTGCAGCCACTCCAGCTGATGATCCTCCTGCCTCTAGAGCTTAGTCTGGTGCCCAGAGACACAAAGTCTCTGCCCAAGATGAGTGGCAGCCATGTGCCACTTTACCATTTGCAGATTCAAATAGTAACAAAGCTGAGCACTGACACACACACACAGAGGACACTGATGTGGCGGGTAACACGCACTCACACTGAGAAGGGTACTGCCTTCAACAGCACTTACTTACAGGGCTTACTACAAACACAAACACAGGCAGCCAAGTCCCCTCCTCCTCACGGGCTGGCAGAGACAGAAGGTCACTAAAGACACTCACACAACATTCTCTAGGTTGACAAGCACACATACATTGTGGATGCCTTGAGCATCTGCTTGCAGCGTCTCTGGATCTCAGGCTCCCTTACCTGCTTCATGGGTCCCCTACTCGCCAGCCAGTCCAGTTTGATGCTTGCTGCAAATGTGCAGCACTCACACTCATCCCTTAGGTACTCCACTTCTTCAAGTCCTGGGTGTACCAGCATGGACTCTGCCTGCCTGATACCCTGAGCTGGACCCAAGGCCTTCCTACTCACTGTTTAGTCCAATTGAAAGTTTGCAAGTAGGTGACACGTGTGCTTCCCTACACTCACCAGGACTGGCGAAGATATAAACACTTACCCCTCAGCAGCCAGCACCAGGCATAAGGCTGTGACTCACAGCCTCACGGCTCTATTGCAGCCACCAACTCTGAGCTCTTCATCACCCCACTACTGGTCGTCCCAGTAGTTGGTTTCAGGAACACACTGTTCCCACCCCACTGACTGAAAGTTTCTTGTAAACACTTCAGGCCAGAGGCTCCCTGCTTTGACTTCAAAAGCTGGCACCCAGTCCACTCACACTGGTGCCTCCATTAGCTAACATTCTAGGAACAAGGTCTGTACAACTATCCCTAGATCCAGAGAGCTATGACCTCTTACTCCCTCAAGTAGTTGGCACCGCTGGCTGGAGGCACCCACACCACTGGTCTGACTCCAGTAACAGGCACCAAGTTCTGCTCACAGATTCAGGTGTCACCAGTAGCTGGCACTTAATCCTTGCAGAACACATAAACGCAGGATTAAGAGTGAGATTACACAGATGGATAGCTAAGAAAAGATTTAATAAGAAGATATGAGATGATAGGACAGATATGACCAGGTGCTCAACCAGACAAACATACTGACCAGCCCCATTTTACATGCAACACGTTCCTTTCATTCTCTATTCTCATCACTGCCTCACTTACCGTTTGTCCTTTGGGTTCATATCTTGGTATGCTCTTGTTCATGGCTTCCTCCTTTTCTTATTTTTTCGTACTGCATTGAAAAAGGTCAGTGACCAGATAACCTTGAAGGAGCAGATACTTTACTTCCACATACTTTTACAATACATATAATCCATATAAGATGCTTTTTTTTTTTACTGTGCCTTATTATTTCATGTATATAAATGTTTTTTAAAAAATAAATATAATCTGAGAGAGATCAGTTTACGTGCAACTACAGTGGAGCTATCTCTGAGATAGAAGTCTGTCACTTTTTTTTTTTCAGGTGTATACACACAAAGCATTTTTCATTTAATAGAAAAGGAGATTACTTTATGCAATTGAAAACAGGAAAGATTTAGCTAAATGTAATGTATTCAGAATTCAGAACTTAAATTTGACCTAAATTCTATGATTCTGTGATTCTAAATACACAAAGAACAATGTTTTCCAAAGAGTAATATATATGTAACCTACAGTTTGATACCTTGAATTACGTCAGTATTTCAGTACATTAGCATTTTTTACCTTGTCAGCCTCTCAGAATTAGTAATGTGTATGGAAAAACAATGCTTCAAACTGAATTCTGTGGACTGTATCCGGTGGTGTAATACATGTATTTCCAACTGATTATTTTCTGTGATTATCAGTGTAAGATGTACATACTTTATTTTCTTTCCTGGTATCGATACTGGTGACTTTTATTTACTTACAATGTTTTTCAGGTGTCCATTTGCAATTTTTGAATTTCTCAACGGAGACCATACATGACTACTTAGAAGTTAGGAGTGGATCTACAGAAACTAGCACAGTTATTGGGAGACTAAGTGGCCCTCAGCTCCCAGCCTCTCTGTTCAGCACAACTCATGAAACTAGCTTATACTTTCACAGTGATTACTCACAGAATAAACAAGGATTTCATATTGTATATCAAGGTGAGATTTGGATATTCTTGTGAGAACAATATGGCTGCTGAAGGTTTTATGGGCTTTTGGGGATTTTGTGTATTGTGTTCTAGAAGGATATGATCTAAATACTGGTTTAGAGTACTGGATTGATGTAGACTAGTGAAAATTAATACCAACCCAGAAATCTCCAAATCCATTTCCTAGTTTGCAATTTCCCTGAAAGGTTCTTGTTCTGTTGCACCCAAGTAGGTCATGCTGAGCTCATGAAGACTGCAAGATCATAATTCTATTTATAGAGTTGCATATTCATGTAAAAGGGATTAGATCACCACTCTTCACAGAAAAAGGTCAAATGTATATTTTAAACTAGACTTGCTCTCATTACATGAATAACACCAAAGAAGGATTTAAAGAGTTTTTACTTTAGAGCAGTCTCCTATTACTGTTTTAATAGTAACAAGTCCAAAATGACTTGAACTCTGTAACATTCTGGAAGTGAGCCACTGTAAAAAGTATTAGCTTTTACAGATAAAGTCAGTTTATGACTTCAACTGCTAAGAAGGCCAGACTTAAGAGCTTATACTATTACCGCTATTAATAGTAATCATTTTGGAGATGCTGTTATTTGTCACAGAATTGAAAAGTTCCTGTCCGTGTTTTAATCACATAAGAGAGAACTGCTTCTTTCAAACATATACAACCTCTGATATTCTGATACTGCAGACTGTGCACTGCTTATTTCTTCTCAGTTCTCTAATAAGAAGCCAATGCTTCAAATCTTCTTGGAAAACATCACCAAGGCGTTCTTTGAAATTCATAGTTTGTTATAGAGCTTTTTAGTTCTTCTGAGAAAATCAAATTAAAGTATAGACATATATATTTCTCCTTTCTCTTAAACATAAGAATGAAGACCCAGAAAACTCCTATTGGAATGGAAAAACGCTTTGCCTAGCTCAGTTTGGTATCTTCAAATGACAAAAAGAAATGTTATTTAGTAGCACAGAAGCCTAGCTAATTTCACTGTACCTACTCCAGGTGTGGGATCAATGATTTGATCATCACTATCATGGAACTTTAGACATATGGGATGCCCATGATTATTAAGTTTATTCTAATTAAATACTTTTATTTTTGAAGTAATTAGAATTTGTGTCTTACTTATTTTTCCCCCATTTTTATTCCTTATTTCAGCATATCAGCTTCAAAGCTGTCCTGATCCTCGACCATTTCGGAATGGTTTTGTTATTGGAAATGACTTCACTGTGGGACAGACTATTTCATTTGAGTGTTTTCCTGGCTACACATTAATTGGAAATTCAGCTCTGACTTGTCTTCATGGAATCAGCCGCAATTGGAATCATCCTCTCCCCAGATGTGAAGGTATGTTCCAGGTGACCTATGAACCCCTCATTATTTGAAAGTCTTCCTAAGGACTGTTAACTGAAGTAGTTTCAGCTTTTCAGTTTATAGGGACTTGTATTTTTACATCGTGGTCTTTGCACAGGAAGTATTTGGTTTTGCACATTAGAATTTTAGTGGAGAAGCTGAAATGTTTCATGGAAATATGAAATCTCTGAAAACTTATCTGTGGTAATAAGTTTACATTTGGAAGGCTAGGCTTAAAGTTTGGAATGTGGAGACCCATGCTGCTTTTAATCTAGGTGATGCAACATCGTGAAAGGTCTGGACTGAATCAAGAAAAAAAAGAATTCAAAAATTGAATTTACCAATTCTGTCCACTTATGTTCTGTCTCATCAGTTAGAAAGAAATGTCAAAGGTGGCATAAAGTGCAATTGTCCTCCAGTTAATGCTGTGTGAATTCCTTGTACATATATTTTTTTCTGAATGGGATTTTATTTTAAATTACATTTTTTAACCTTTCAGATTTTCTTTTCATTATTATGCTTGCAACAGGTAAGCAGATTCAATGAACTGTGACTTGCACATAACTTACGTTTTAAGGAGACAGAATTAATGTATATGATGATTCTGTAGAAGTGCTTATCTTATCCTTAGCTATGCTGAAAGGAATCTGTATCTAAGCAGCAGGCCAAGGAAGGTCAGTCATGTTGTGTTGCCAGACTCTGAAAAAGAAAAGGATGGGTGTTTTGGTAATACAGAAATCTCTTTGAGAAATAGATGTGCACCACAAAAGCTATTTGTTGAACTGAGGACTGGATTTTCTTCCATATGAAATAATTACTTTCTTCTGGGAGGTCCAGCTTTGTCACAGTTGTGGCAACATTTAGACACCAACATTAGATTCCTGAAAAAAAACCCAGACACAGCAAAGATACTTCATATTTAAAATTATCATCCCGAAATCCTACGTTCTTGGGACTGCAAGGTCCAAACACCTTTAACAATTAAGTTATTGACTGTAAAGTTCTCTGTATGCCTAAGCAAAGATGAAATCTGTACAACATGTTGAGTACCCGCTTTCATATGCCATAAGACCCTTCACAGTTTCAGGAGAGGTATTCAAGATCCCAGTTAAAGGCCTAATTTCCCTATATACTGAGTGGTAAAAGCTCAACATTAAGAATGGGATTGAGCGCGTAGAGGAGAAAAGCCTCAAAACCCCACAACAACAACAACCTCCCCCCTAAAAAACCAAAACAAAATAACCCCCTCCAAAAAAAAAGCCACCAAAAAAACCCACAAAAAAACCCCAACAAACCACCTTAACAGAAAATAAAAAGCTCCCCTATTTCTGCATTTTTGAATTGTATTCTGAACTGTCTTCCCAAATTTAGGTACTTAAATGAAAAGCCTCATTACTCCAAATTCCTTCTGGAGTCAGTGAGCCACAGGAAATTCTGGGGGAAGTGGTAGCTAAATTAAGACCTAACTGATACTGAATTCAGAAAGGGAAGCCTCATCATATAAAAGAGAGATGACACCTACACTGTCTGGTTTTTGAAAAGGAAAGAAGTTAATTCATTGCAATTAACACCCATTTTCTGGATCCTGTGGGAATAATAATAGTTCATGTCTTAACTGCTAAACACTTAGCTTTTCCCTATTACTTAGTTCTAACTGTATTTTCTGTGCCTCAGAATCAAAACAAATAATTTACTGAATAGAGCGATTCTGCTTCTTTGAACTACCTTAGTGGACCCAGGAATTTAATCAGTAAATTTGAATATGTCCAAAACACGTTGCTGTTCTGAGAATCAGTTTTGACGAAATTCCTGAACAGTGGTTGGATGTTCTTGGTTTCTACCTAATGTCATATGAAAAGATGAAGATAAAAAAATCAACCAAATTAATAATAGAGATCTAATATGCGTGTTATGCTGCATGATTACAGACTGTCAACATTGCTCAGCTCCTAGAAAAATTTCTTACATTACATGGGGTTTTGTGCAGTTATTTACTGTGGTATTTTTAGTAAAGAGTTTGTGACAATCTGAATCAAATGTCACTAAACTTGCTTTCTGTTTAAACAGTTTTCTTCTCTTTTTGCATCCTCATGCACCTAATATTCCTTTAACCTGTGCTCAGCATCATCTAATACTCTCTGACCCTTCTTAACTCATCTCCCTTGCTTTCATCTGTTTGGATTCTGTTGCTCTCCTTTTCCAAGAAATCTCTTTGCCTGACAGTCATCAGACCATTTCTTCACTCCCCTAAGACCCAGCTGCAAAATCAATTCTGTCTGCACTGCTCAAACCCCTTTGAGACTTTGAAGCTAAAAGCTGAAGAAAAGCAGTATGCCAGCTGTTCAGTCTGAAGAGATGAGGTGTGACTATGAAAGTCTCCTTAACCTACAATTCAGCACCAAAGGGTGTATATATATAAACCCTAACACATGCTTTAGCTAAATACGCCTATAATTCCTATATGTAAAACTTGTATTTCCAACAACCTGTTCTCTGGTTAGAGATTTTTAAACATATTTTAGGGAATCTGGGTTGCCATGCCATGTGCATTTTGGGGTAGAGTGGGCAAAACAAATGTATGCAAAATAAAGCAAATGATACAATTTTAACCTTTGCTCACTTTTCCAGAACTAGGCTTCTATAACATAGTTTCTTTTCTGTAATAACAGGGTGGTGTCATACTCAACATCATCTGAAACCTCTGAGGAGAAAATTATATAACTGGACTAAGGGTTTTCCAGAAGTAAAAATCCAGAATCTGTATGGTGATTCTTGCACTGTATGGCATCTAAAATTAGTACAATTCAACGTGAATTACAGAGAGAACTCTTACTTTGTCTATCAGAATTTGTTTCCATAAATGCAAAATTGCTATTCATACTGCTGGACAATGTTTTTATTTTCAAGTTCCCCTCTAATTTTCACCCACCCAAGCATATCCCTTCTCTCACGTGTTACTTTTGGTTGTCTATCTGACAATAAATGAAAGCAATTAATGGGATTCCCAACTAATTTGTATCTAGCATTTATACAAAGCCCTAACAAAATCATTTTCAGTTGTGCAGGAAATTTTACCCAATATCCAAATATGGCTTTAGTTCCAGTTCTGATAGTATTTATAACATCAGAATTAATTTTTTTTTTACTTTTTTATTTGACCAATAATGTCAAAATGGACTTCTGACTCATGGCACAAAGCTCAATAAAATCTGTTTCTTTACACAGCAATGGTCATACGCAATGTAGTTATAGTCTACCAAATGTGTTTAATAGTATAGTTTTTACATAGTCTAATAACCCAAAAAGCATCTAATGTATTTTTTTTTAAAAAATGTCTTTTTTATAGCGCTCTGTGGAGGAAATATAACTGCAATGAATGGCACCATATACTCTCCTGGATACCCTGACGAGTATCCAAACTTTCAAGACTGCTTCTGGCTTGTAAGAGTACCACCTGGGAATGGAATCTACATCAATTTCACAGTTCTTCAAACTGAGCCAATATATGATTTCATAACTGTCTGGTAAGGAAACAATGTTGACATTTATTTAATCTTCATGTGACCCTATACAACAAAGCTTGAATTTAAAAGAGTATATTTGTAGTTTTACCCTTGTTTTCCAATGGACCATTCTCTCTAGGAAGCACTGGATAAGAATTCAAAAACAATAATAGTGTTCCTCAGTTTGTCAGCAAGAGCATACAGAGACGTGCTATGACAGCTCATCAACGACCAAGAGAAATAATGCTTAAGGAGTGATAATAAGAGTTTACAGATATGTGTGTTAGTGGTTTACAGCGTTAGTACTAGAAAATATGGCAACACTTTCTTAATTTCTTCCAAGTTTGCTCTTTTTACTTTTAAGAGTACCTAAAAGGAGACACTCTATTTGTATCTAGCCATGGCAAAAAGAGTTGAGCCAACAGTAGCCGTAAACAAATTATATTCTCTATATACCTGAATCCATGTCTATCATGGCTCTGCATGATAACCTATCACCCCCATCAGTAGCCTCATTATCCCTCATTAGTCCCTCCACCACATATCTCAAGACATTTCGTGGCTTTAGGCCTCATTCATATACATATGCAAAAATTGTATTATATACATGATGGCTATAGAATTATATAGCTTATGCCACTTCTGGCATTATAATTGTCTAAAGAACTGATCAAACTTTTTACAGAAGTTTCCAATGGAAAAAAAAAAAAGCATTTTATTCCCAATTCAAATGTTTCAAAGCATATAATTTCTCTGATAAAACAGAGGGGGAAGAGTCAATGTGTCAGAATTTGGACAAACATACTACTACAAAATTTTCAAAATAAAAAATATTCATATTTTATTACATATTGTGATTTTTCAGTTAAATATTATATATTTTCAGTTAAAATAATGGTTGAAAAAATTAACTTTAAACTTCTATTATTTAACGTTTGTCAATTCTGATCTGAAAGGAAGCAAATATGAACATTTAATGCCCTTGTAATCTGATTCTGTCCTCTGTACAGTTCCACCATTGTTTAGTACTAGCTTTGATTTAACTTTTCTACTGAAATTAGAAATTTCTAGTGAAATTCATTTTTCCATAATGTAGCAATGATCTTACCAGCAGTATGTTTTGTCTAAATCTTAATAAATAGTGCAAAATAATATCAGTAAATTCATGTAAAGAAGATTTTATGTATTAGGTTTATTTATTTTCTGATAGCCACATTTGAAACTATAGATACACAAATGTAATCAGAGGTTGTGTTAAGAAGATGAAGAACAATTACAAATTCAATAATTTTGAGTTTGCTTCGATTTTTATTTGAAAATAAGAAAATTACTTTCAAAAGGTGGTTGAACTAGGATCCAATCTACACAGGATTTGAAAAGGCCTTCAGCTCTTCACATCTATATTATCTTATTTTAGTTGTCTTGTGCCTTTTAGAGTAATCTAGAGCAAAATTACTACAATAATTTAAAAATTAGAGAAATTATATTATTTGGCTGGGCAAAAAAAAAAATATTCCTGTGTTTGTTTTTCTTAGGGATGGACCAGATCAAACTTCTCCTCAAATTGGACAGTTTAGTGGCAACACTGCCTTAGAATCAGTCTATAGCACTTCCAATCAGGTTCTGATCAAGTTTCACAGTGACTTTACTACCAGTGGCTTCTTTGTACTCAGTTATCATGGTAAGTGTGACAAATTTCTCTATTTCATTATCTGCACTGGTCACTGCAGACAGACAACTCATGAGAAAATTAATTACGTTTCCTAAGAAGAGTTGCAATTATTAGTATGACTGACCTGCACTAGGGTAATGCAACATATGAAGGAATAATACGAATAATGAAAATAAGCTATTTTCTTGACCAAATATTTAATTTACTAGTAGTCAACCAAAAAAAAAAAAAAATTCACTGTGATGAGACAGGAGCGAAGAATGCAGCATCAAGACCCTAAAGCTCAAGGGGCACATCTTCTTAGTGCTTACGATGCTTCTAAACTTCCTTTGAAATGTGAATGTTTTTGGAGGACAATAAATTTTTCTTAGATATTGGGATATTTTGAAGAAAGTACTTTTTTTGTAGAGATGCCAATGATAGTGAACTATATGATGTAGTTAATATTAATTTACCCTGGAATTAACTAGTGACTGAATGAAAACAGTTAAAAATAAATGCACCGAATTCTACCTCTTTTCGTAATCATTCAAACCCTCTGTGGCCAAGTGTGGTTTGCATTCCTATAATTACAAGGAAGCAGATCCATAAGTAAGGGTGTTTTTAGGTGCTCCATGAATGTCTATTGGAATGACTATTCTAGAAAACATTGACAGACTACAATCTGTTTTCTAGATCCTGATCAAATGTTGGGGCTAGAAGACTTTATTTTTGGCTTAGTAGAGACCATGGTTAATATAGATAGACAGAATTGAGGAGTAGAGGAACCTTAATCTAAACAAAACAAAGCAAAACAAAAATTACCTAAAGCTCACAATGAAAAAAACCCCACCATCAACAGCACTTGAATTGATTGCAGGATATAGACTCCAGTAGGGCTAGGCAGAGAGGGCTAAAAATTTCTATTCCGAATCTTGGCATCTAAGTTGCATGTATCAGCTTGTGAAGGACAAAAATGACACTTTATATTCATTAATATATAAATTGATATTTATTGATATCTACTAATATATCAGTATTTGACCAAAAAAATGTAAAAACACTCATGGAACCATAGAATCGTTCAGGTTGGAAAAGAGCTTTAAGATCGTTGAGTCCAACTGTAGACCCAACACTGCTAAGTCCGCTACTAAACCAGGTCCACAAGTGCCAAATCTACACGTCTTGTAAATACCTTCAGAGACTGTGGCTTCACCACTTCCCTGGGCAGGCTGTTCCAATGCTTCACAACCCCTTTGATCAATAAATTTTTCATAATATCAAATATAAGCCTCACGTGGAGCAACTCGAGGCTGTTTCTTCCAGTCTAATCACTTACTAGTAGTAAAGTGTCTCTAAGGAGCTTATCTTCTTTCACCTGTTTCTTTTGCTGTGAAAATTGTCATTCCACAGATGTGGGCTCTAATGTGTAATAAAGATGCAAACTGAGCACCACAAGGATTACTCATGAAGAAACTTAAAACAATCTTTGGATTGATATTGTCAAGATAAAAAAAAATATCTCAGTATCTTGGAGGCTATGATCCTTCATATCAGCTATACAAAATTTATAGCAATAAAGGAAACACAGTGAGAGGAGTCAAATTTATTTAAAATAGATAATTTGGGGATTAAAATTAATGATACTCTTGGTACCCTTAAATGAGAGACATTTGAGATAAATGATACAATTTTTTTATTGAATCAATTTTTAATTATGTTGTATTCTTATTATTAGTTTTCTTAGGATGCAAATAGCACAATTGTTTCATGTTTACTTGGTATGTTTTACTTTAAATTGCTTTATCCTACTGACTCACTGATTTAAGTAGATCTTCATTATATGATCAACAAAAAGGAGTATAATAGGAAGATATCAAATGTGGGTGACTCAATAGTAACAAAAGGTCTTACCTGTTGCAGTATAAATTTTGTGACTGACAAAGGTTTGGCCAATTAGATTACTAAAGAATCTAATCACAGGAAGCAACCAAAAAGGCATATTACTGAAGCTGAACTGTCATCTGCCATAAGTAGATGATGTTTCAGTGCTAAAGGGAAATGCTATAAAAAAAAATGCTATATGAAAATGTACTATCAGTGAAAACCAAGCATACTTCATCTTGACTGTACACTTTAAAACAAGGAAGACTATACTTTCGGTATAAATATGTCAATGTGATTTCATTGGCAAGATTTCTGTCCTGATTGCATTAAGAGTAAATGGAATTTTGTCTGTGTCCAGATATGGGCCTATCCTCATACAATCTCCAAAAAAAAAAAAATCTATATAGCTTCTGCATACTCTTCGTACTTGTCTTTTTATTTGTTTCACCTAATTATTTTGCCTGGCTGCTGCATCATGTGTTAAATCACAGAAAATTATTTCATGTAAGACTTCAAATGAGAATTTTGAAAGCTGCATTATTCTCTGACCCTATCTAGAGGTGCGATGTGCTCCACAACTATTCATTTACTGGGAAATTTCACATTCAAAATGCTTCTGTCCATTAGTTATTCTGCCTCTGAGTAGAGTCTTTGGGATTCCAAAACTTGTATTTATTACAGAAGAGTTCAATAGTAAAATTGTATCGTAAAAAAAAAAAAAAAAACCCAAAACAAGCAAAACAATAGGTCCACAATACAAAAATATTTATTTTTGTGTGAGATCACTTAAGTGAGAAGATTGGTAAGCAATACTAGGTTTCTTAGTTTATTTATGAGGGTTTTGCCACTAAAATAAATAACTAATCAAGAATATAGACACAACTTCTGATGTTTTCATTTCCTTTTGATTCTCCTGAAAGTTTGAAAATAAATTGAGTTTTTATTTTTATCCTGTTAATATAGGTATTAAATCAGTTAAGTTTGCATGGCTCTGTTAACTGTGTTTGAGAATGTCAGCTGTGCTTTGTTTCTGTTTATAGCCTATCAGCTCCGGGTCTGCCAGCCTCCAGCAAATATACCAAATGCAGAAATTCTAACTGAGGATGATGAATTCGAAATAGGTAATATAAGAGAAAACGAAAGCAACATTTGTTTCAAAAATAAGCTTGTTGTGCATGGGATGCTTTTCAGGATGAAAATCGTGCCTATAATACATTAGATTTTTATTTGAAAATACATTTTTTAAGAAGTCATTCCTCTTCCCTATACCTCCTGAATCCCATTCAGAGATGACATATACAGTAACTCTTTGTAATTGACTTCATTTTAAAATACATTTTTCATACTCTCTAATATAAAACATTGTATTACTCTGAAACAAACGAACAAAACCCATAAGAAAACATGTAGAAAATGGTATATTCTGTACCAGAATCAAGGTTGTGTGACCTTAAGGGTAAAATCAAATTTGTGAAAATTATGAGGATCAGAGAAGGGGATGACATTCTGACCTTCTGAGACGTGTAATAATATCACTTAGCCACCTACAATTCAAAGAAATTTGATTTATATGATCAGATGTCTGATCATATAAATTTCTTTCATATGTCAGATGTCTGAACAGCTAGTTTTGCTCATATGATGGCAAAGAAAAATAAATTTGTTTTTAGTCCATATCAATATTTGATTAGTTATATAAGTAACAAAGAGAAAATATTTTTTCCCTTTTCTTCTCTGTAATCTGGACCCTAATCTGGACCAAAGAGAACTAACTTCTGGGATATAAAAATTTCACTTTTATTGGTATATAAAACCATATGAATTATTGATTTCTTAATTAAAAAATGAAAATTTCTTTTTCTCACCATGCCAAATTTAGATATCATCAACTAAATCCAGTTCCTATTTAATTTTTTCCCCCCTCAGGATTGTGTGAGTTAGTGACTTAATCTAATACCTTTATTTAGTTTCATAATGGTTATCCTATAAATTATATTGCTTAAAGCTCTGTGGACATGTTCACACAGCATCAGTCAAACCTAGACAAATTAGCAAACTATCCAACAAATAATGTGGTGAAAAACAGTGATAGATGCAACACAGTGTGCAACACAAAGCTCATTTACCACGTTTCTTAGACTAATCAAAGTTGTTTATGCCAGAGGTCATTTAGCCCATTTTATGTGGTGGCAAGAAACTTCATTAATCAATAATGTTTTCAAAGCTAAAAGTCTCAGTTAATTGCTGTTTAATGTTTCTTTTGTTTGTTTGTGTTTTGTCTTGTTTTGTTTTTCCAAACAGGAGACATAATAAGATACCAGTGTCAACCAGGCTTTACGTTGGTTGGTAATGAGATTCTGACATGCCGACTGGGTGAAAGACTTCAGATGGATGGAGCACCACCTTCTTGTCAAGGTTTTTTCTCGTTTTTATTTTCCTGCTGCCAGTCTAGCTGAATGGTGATTCCTCACATACCCTCCTCTATCTCTTTACATCAGATTTTTTAAGCTATTCCCAATATATTGTTGTTGTGTTTCGTATAAGTTAGATATTAATGCAAGATAATTAGTAATCTTTTAGTGAATTTCACAAGTTTAAAGGACTGCTGCTCTACTTTGTGAAGTATTGAAAACTGCAAATACAGATATAATACCATCTCATTGTTAAAGTCAAAACAAGATTACAGTCCTGCCAATCACTAACATCACAGTTTAAACCAGTCTTTATTAAGCTGAAAGTTGACGTGTTGCCCTCTAATATAATTTTTCCATAATTTTAAAGAAAACGTCAGGGCTTTCTTTCATACCAAACTGCTTTAGAAGCTAATGAAGATAAGCCTTGCACATGCTCTATTAAAAGACTGGAATCTCTTTGAAGTTCCAGTGATGAGTATGTGTTTATGTTTTCTTACTAACTCTTCCATTTGTTTCCAGAAAGATAAATAAGGACTTTCAGTTATAAATATGTACAATAAAGTCTTTTCTAGAAAAAAAGACCAAAACAAAACACCATAGCCTCCTAAAAGCATAAGTTATGTAAACAACAGTCATTTTGGATTCTGCTGGTTGCTGTAATATTCCTTTGTGATCCTCCTACTCCTGAGCTTAATATGCTAATATCTACTGCAGGATTAAAATACTTTCCCAAATCAGTCATAATAAATACATTTGATTTACATTTGTATTATATGACAAATACTGCTTTCTGTTTTTTCTACCAATCTGATATTTTGGTGTTCCTTCCCACAGTAATTTTAATTCATTAACATATCTATAAAACACTGATGTTGAAAGATTTATTTGGCAATCGTAAATTAATTGGCAATAAATCTACTACTTTTACAAGTTAAGCTCTAATATCTGACTGTTTCTTAGAAATTGGCAAAGTTTCAAACTGGTGCATAGTATAGATGTTAGGAAATTAAACATCAGTATATTAATTTTTAGAACTTAATTATTACTATAATCTCCACCTAGGTTTTCAGCTGAGAGTTAAAAAATTACTGTCTTATAAATATATCCTTTTCCTGCATTCCTAAGAAAAAAGAAGGGTCTACTATTACAGCTGAACAAACTATTTTCCTCTGATTTTATGCACAAAACTATGCTAAAGTCAAACTCATTTATAGCAGTAAGTCTAGCTCTTAAAAATGCAAAGTGATCCTGAAATGTGAGCTTCATAAGAACTTTAACACTGATAATTTCTGAAAATTCATACATTTATTTAGGCACAATTACCCCAATTTAAATTAAAATCCTAACTTGGCAGACTCATAGAATTTAATAGGTGGAAAATCATAGTAACCTCCAGGCATTGCTTTAGCTGTTAAAATGATGTAATATTAGATAGGGCAAATAGAGACATATGTGCTAATCCTGAGGCATTCTGTCAGCATGTGTTGCTGAAAGCATATTTGTATTCAATGCGAGACCAAAGACAAAACCCCAGGAATAATGACTTCAGTTACCACAGTTAATCTTTTAACTGTCACATAGAAATGCTAAACATTGTATCCAATGCTGAATATTAAATCAGTTCTTTCATAATTTCTGTTTAAAGCAGCATGAATTGAACATAGTTTTTAGGGTTAGATCCAGAGAATCAAAAAGAAAGATACAAAGGAATTTCTTTAATTGTGTTAAAAATTACCAAACTGGACATGTAGAATAAGCAGCAGCATAATTTTATTATGTATTTATTTATATAATATCTAAGTTTGAAGATCACAATATATAAGTAAAATTTCAATGATGAATGGAAAAAAATAGCTTTTTGGAATCTAGAGGCAGCAAAATTACATGCCTAACATTTCTGGTTTTCGTGATTTTAGTATATCACACTGATCTATGGATAAGCCACCATACTTTAATTGTGCAGGCTATAACAATCACTCTCTAGATAAAAACACAGTTCTTCTGTTGGTTTTTATATGATTTACTAATTCTTTTCACCAGGTAGTGTGGAGTTTTGTTGTTAGATTTCATCGTGTTGACTCCTGTTGCCTGAAGTTTGTACATATGTTGTATGCTTTAACTGGTGTAAAATGACTTTAGGTTGAATTTTTCTTTGATTTTTAACTTAAAATAAATTGATCAGTTGGATGATCATTTCTTTAAATTCTTGAAGATTTCCTTCTTTAGATGAGAAAATAATCACTAAATTACACAAACTTATGCCAATGGCTATCATTTTATTTTTTTAAAATAGAGTATTTTCCATATGCAACATGTAACTTAGTCCTTAATTTTGCTTTAAATTAGTTTCTACTTTCAGAATAAGTAAAAACTTCACGGTAAGAAGATCCAAACTGTATTTTGCATCATAATTAAGGGACCCTGAGAAAATTCTTGAATTATGACTCTTAACTATATCTCAGATACATTTGCCACCTGACTCCCAAGGAAATCTATTTTACAGAATTAGGTTTTTAAACCATCTATAAAATTCCTGAGGGAAGTTTAGCTGAAGATCCCTAAATTAAGGACAATTTGCAAAGCAGAATAATATGGAGACAGCAAAACTAGCTGCAAATAAACAACTGCAGCCAGATTACTATTGTGCTCTTTCTGCCACATATTTTTATTTATATATAATTTATATATATGTATATATATGTACTATAAAACTGAGTGGATCAGTTCATTCATTTGCTTGAGCTTTGTGTCACAACTGGCACAGCACTGTAGTTTGACCGATTCCAGCCATATGAGTTTTCTCAGGTGGCATGGACGTGTTTTATTCAATCTCTTCTTGAAAACAAACACAGGACATGAGAAACAACTTCTTAAATTTAGCAATTAGATGCTAATTTGCAACTGAGAGATTAATATTTTTAAAATATATTGGCAGATTCCTTTCTCTTTTTCAAGTTTGGGTTGGATGGATTCTCAGGGGGTTGGACTAAATAACCTTCAAATGTCCCTTTCAATCAAAACATTCTATGATTCTTATGATTTTTGTATGGAGATGATTATTCTTTTTCTCTCTCATCTCTGCTTTTCTGTGTTCTTTATCTCTCTTCATAGTCCAATAACTTTTTCAACATAAAACCTAATTGTTGTATTTAATAAGCAAATATTATTTTCAGTGTTCTTGAGAAACCTAAGATCCTATTATTTTTCTTGAGTAACTTTTAATAACTCAGGACTAACTAATTTTTTTGTAAGAGTTAGTTGTCAATATAAAAACAGATTTCAAAGCTCCTGTTCAACAGTATTCAGTTCTGAATATACTGTAGGCACTTGTTCCTATATCATGAAGCAAAACTGGTTTTTGAAAAAAGTTCTGATAACATGGTAATATCAACTATTTCTATTTACTGAGATTTTTATTTTATGTAGACCTAGTGAATCCAGATAATTCAAAATTAAACGCCTGCATCATATTTTTAAACACCATTTTGCTCAATTTATGTAAAAAAATGAGTAATTATGTTTTTTTGAACTCAGAAAAATCTTGACAATCACATGAAACAGAAATAGTGGCCTTTAGATTTTTTTGCCAATCTTTGTGTTTCACAGTGCTCTGCCCAGCCAATGAAATGCGTCTGGATTCAACAGGAGTAATACTGAGCCCTGGATATCCTGACAGCTACCCCAATCTCCAGATGTGTGCATGGACCATTACTGTGGAAAAAGGCTATAATATCAGCATGTTCTTTGAATTCTTCCAGACAGAAAAGGAATTTGATATACTTGAGGTGTTTGATGGTAACTATAGGATGCATAACTTTGGATGATACTTTTTCTATATAATTGTATTTTTATATTGCATCTGGGTAATCACTACCATTTATGTACATCAGAAATTTTCAGTATAAAAAGTCTTTAAAAAACAATTATTTTGATTCATTATGCTAAAAAGAAATGTTGGATTACTGTCTTTTGAAATTGTACTGCTTAAATTATGATTGGAAATAAATTTTCTTTTGAGCAAATATATACTTTCTAGCATATAACGTGTAATGTCAACTTCTATTTTTAATTCAAGTTAATTTGCCATTTGCTTGGAGGAGGCTTTATACATATATATAATTATGTGCATATAATTTATTGTATGTTATTTTAAACTTTGTAACTCCTTTTTTCTTTTTTTCCCCCTTCCTTTGTACCAAGGACCAAATAGTCACAGCCCATTGCTCATATCTCTCAGTGGAGACTATTCATCTTCTCTAAATATAACCAGTAACGGCCATGAAGTATTTCTCCGTTGGTCAGCAGATCATGGCACCAATAAAAAAGGTTTCAGGATAAGATATATAGGTATGTAATCGTGACTCTCTACAGTGTGTATAAAATTTCAATACGGAACATTTATGTATGTAAAAAGGGTAATATAAGCTATGTTTTGTATCTTTAATTAACCAAACTGAAAGGAAATCCAATCTGTTCTATCTATGAACCTGATGATACTGATTTTGTGAGGAAAAAATACCTCACACATGTGCTCTGTAGAGATTTAAGAAAATGCTTCACAGGGTTTTCAAATGGCATGAACCAGCACTAAAGATGAAAGAAGCTTTCCTCTTCTCTCTCACAGCATTTATTTGCACTCGTGTACCTCCTGGGGTGTTTTCCAAACTGGATCTTTATGCAATTCATTATTAACAATTTTGGTGGGACAGAGAAAGACATAGAAACAAGGCAGGAGTGAACAGTTATAAAGAGGAAAAATATGAAACCCTGGGGGATTGAACTCTTTAATTTAAGGTCCAACAGAAGCAGCAAACAGTATTACAAGAGGTCAATTAGTATGCAAAAAATGCCAGTATTGTATGTATTATTAATTCAAACTAACATAATGATGAATAGTGTGTGAAAATGGTACTTGACAATGATAGAATTTTGTATAATTGCTTTTACAGAATTATTATATAATAAGAATTTCAATGGAAAATTATATTAGTTAATCAAGCTAAACTAGACCTGTTGCAATTTGCAGCAATTGCACAAAATCTATATTTGATTTTTTTATGATGACCAAAGATATGAAATATACAGAATGAAAAGTACTAGGGACAGTATCTGTAGATATTAGAGAAGTTATTGGCATAAAGCAATTTCGCTTTACAAAGTGAAGAAAGAAATAGAGAATAAATATAAAATTCTTTCTGCTGGTTTTTTTGTTTTTCCTCACTCAATTTTTGACTCCTCCACAATTGCAATTATGAGCCTAAAAATAATTAGGCTCATAATATTCAGTGAAACAACATCAGTGTCATCTTTCCCTTTAGGAGAGGATAGTTTTCTCAGACTTAAAATTTTTGTTATTAACTAGATAACATTCACTGTTGACTAAACACAAAATATTATACGGTACCTATTTTCATTTCTTATAGTACCTGTTAGATCTTCTAAAAGAGAAAAAAGAAGAAATTCTTCTCTTTCCCTACAGGTAGCAAGAGAACTATTGAGAGGTAGACAGGAAATATTTAATTGTGGTCTGTATCTCTCAGAAAATACCAATGTATTTTCTTATACACTAAGTAGAGCTGTCTGTATCTCTGATTCTTCCAAGAGTGTAAGGCAGGAGAAATTTAGTGTGAGGAAGAAAATATTTTCATAGTATGTGCTCTGAAAGATATGGCAGTGCTTCTCATTTTGCTCTTTGCTTTAATATGTTTAACATATATTTGTTGTAAACAAACTCTATTCTGTGTAGAGGAAGCTTTCACCTGAGAAGAACATTGACCTGAAGTAACTCATGGAACATGGAAAGGCTTAAAGAGCGAGTGAAGCAGCACTTCTCTATTTGCCTGGGAAAATAAATGCCAATAGTTATAAACGTTCTTCAAAGCATAAAGGAAGCACTTGGAACTTCCAGTATAATTTTCTTTCGTACAAAAAAGGAAATTGGCCATCTTGGTTAGCAACCTTGAATCAAACCAATTAGAAACCAAGTTAAACTCTTACACAACCAACATTTATCTTAAACTGGTTACCAGGTTACAAGAGCCTTCTGGTCCATAGCCAAACCCAAGTGACTTGGTACTCATGGATTTAATGAACAAGGGAGTGAAAGGAAATATAATAAGCAATTAGTCTTTAATGTCAGAGAGTCTTGAAGTAAATAAATAATTTCAGATGATGGCAATTGTATCTGTTTGAGATAACTTTTGCTCTCATAAAGATTTCTGAATTTTTTTATAGTCTCTAGATAAGACTTCTGTAGGACTTAATGTGTTCTAAATAAATCAACAGCAACTAGAAGCAGATTCAGTATTTTTGCTATGGATTTATGGTGGCACTAATATGTATGATTAAAATCTATATTAAATGTTTTGCTTCCCTTCAGTTCATTCTATCACAGAAATTGAAAGAAATAACTTATTTAGGACCAGAAAGAAAAGACTATTTGAAAAGAGTTATGCACAGGATGCACTAGATGTTTCTTTCAAAAATTTGTATACTATTGAAATGTATACAATTGCAATAAATTTCATGATAAAGTAAAATTCTGTAGCTTATTTGATTTAAAAAGAAGATGGTGAAAAAATAAAACAGAACAAACCCCCAAAATAATAGCCAGTTATAAAAGTGAGCAATCACTCTATTTCCTTTGAGGCTACTGAAACCTAAAGCTTATAAAGAGCTTAAAACAGTTTATTTTTTCGCCTTTATATTTTGTCATATTGTTTGGTGCATGCATGATCAGGACACAAAATAAAACTTTTAGTGGTGTTTTCTCAGCTTCTTATCAGATGTCCACTGAATTCAACCAGAATTTTTCAAGAATTATCATCTGAATTTTAAATGCATATTTTATTTATTTGATATTTATGTTTAAAGCTCTCTACTGTAGTACTCCAGAGTCCCCTCCACATGGTTTCATTGTCAGTCAGACAGGTGGACAGCTCAACAGTATGGTTCGCTGGGCTTGCGATCGAGGGTTTCGGCTCATTGGGAAAAGTACTGCTGTGTGCAGGAAGTCTCCATATGGTTATTACTCGTGGGATGTTCCAGTCCCAGCTTGTCAAGGTAAATTCTTTAATTCAAAAAAAAAAATACTCTAAGAAACTTCCCTTTTCCTTTTCTAAGTTTTCTGACTTAAAATGAATAGCAGGTAAACATTTCATGGTCATACTTCTGTACCAAAATTTTTCTACCTCATAACACTTATAAAAACAAATGTATTTTTAAGAAACAGTATTTCAAGAGAATTTGCTAAGACTGGCAGATACTAAAAATAATCTACCTCACTGTGAGGGAACCTTCCCCCCAACACACACTTAAAATATGAAATTATTCAAAAAGTTCATTTAAAACTGAATATATTTAAAGTTCATTTATTATGACTCAAGAATTACATTACGAATAATAAAAAAGAAAGACCTGAAACTTGCTACATTTCCAAGAACAGGAAACTGGACCAAGTTTTACCTGTGATGCCATATTTTGCCTATGATACCATTCTAATATTCTGTGGTTTAAATTGAAATTTAAAAGATAATTAATCAGGTTAGCCATATATTTAATTTCTTCTGTCTTATAAAAAACCAAACATATTCTACCTAACAAGGAAAAGGAAATGATTATTTAATACCCATAACAACTGTATACTAATACTTCCTTTCCTGAAAAGAATGCTGTTGTTCTGATAATTTGCCTGTGTCTCTATTCAGTGAACTATTAGAATGAAGGTTTTTTTCATGAAAATTTGCAGATATGTTTATTCAAAATGTATGCATTTTGTTCCAAGATAAATGCTATCTGAATGCTCCATGTTAATTTCCCCACAAGATTTGTTTTTTGACAAAAAGTCTTTGAACTGTATGTTTCTAAAGCAAAAGAAAAAATGTTTGGTAAACTTCTTACTGTATGTGTCTATATTTTTAAAAAGCTGAAAGTCCTCAAAAGAAAAATATGGTCATGCATTTGCTACATATAATTCTTTGTCTTTTTCACCAAAGGACTGCCATTACACTTATTTGCAGAACTTGGTCAAACTCTTAATTAGATGTATAACACAATGTGGAAAAAAAAACCAAAACACCAAACCAACAAACAAACCCAACTCACCAAATTCGAATACCAGATGATTATTCTCAGCATACTGAGTATAGTTCAGTAAGAGAAAGAGTTGCAATACTCAGGTAACACTTCAGGAACAAGTGAAGTTAAGTGCTTAGTAATTTCATGATGTCTGATCATGTACAAAGACTGTTGGCATACTGGAAATTATTTAAATATTTATTAACTGAATAACAGTTAGTTAATTATAATTATGGGGCTAGATTTGATACGTGATATGAACTTTATTTGATTCTTCCTGCAAGACCTTGTGCTGGAAAGTGGTTTCTGGCCATCATATGTAGCTGCAACTCACAGCAGCAAACCCTTTGGATTCAACCTAAAGACACATTACTGCAAAACACTTCAGGAATTAACTGTTTCCATACATCAGTTATATATCTAAGCTTCCTATTGTTTTGCTGAGGTGAAAATTATTCCACTGTGATGGATTGACCTTGGCTGGATGCTAGGTGCCCACCCAGCCATTTTATCACTCCGCTTCCCAGCCAGACAGCGGAGACAGTAAAATGGAAAACAACCTGTGGGTACAAATTAGGTAGTTTATTAAAGCAGAAGCCAGGTGAGAGCTTGTGTGCACAAAAGCGAAGTGAAAGATAACATGGTTTATTCTCTATTTCCCATCAGCAGTGATGGTCAGCCACTCCCGAGAAGCAGGACTTCAGCACATGTAATGGTTCCCTAGCAGGCAGCCACTGGACACAATGAATGCCTGCCTTTCTGCTCCTTGCCTTAGCTTTTATATCTGAGCTGACGTGGCATGGAATAGCCCTTTTAGCCAGTTTGGGTCAGCTGTCCTGGTTGTGTCCCCTCCCAGGATCTTGCCCTCAACTGAGGAAGGAATGTTACAGTGCTGATGCTGTGCTCAGCAGTAGCCAAAACACCGGTGTGTTATCAACACCCTTCTAGCTGCCAGTGCAAAGCACAGCACTGTGAGGGCTACTGTGGGGAAATGAACTCCAGCTCAACCAGACGCAATACACCCACCTGTCCAGATGATACAGAAGGTTCACTCTCTTGTATCAAAAGATTCAGAACACCCTCAGTAGATATCCTTCATGTTCTTTCACAGAGGACACTTACAAGGCACAAGAGCTTTGCCATTCCCCCTACAGCTGAACAGTACAGCTTCATCACAAATTCTCTTTAAGGTGTGGGCTAGCAGGTTTTAGAACTTCATGATATTGAGTATGAACCACTTGTTTTAACAAGTATTATAATTGTCAGTCAGAATTTGCCAACTATTTTTCCAGGTGATATCAGATGACAATGTCACAGTCCTAACTTCTACTTCCCATTCTCTATCATTTATAGCATAAATTTCAAAGCCATTTTAGTCAGTCCTTTTACACATCTGAATGTAGAATTGCCGCAAATGACCATTTAACACAGATCAGAAAAAGTATTAGACTTTCTTATTTTATACAGTATTGCAAGTTAAAAATAAATATATTTGCAATTTTGCAGCTTCTTTCAAAGCAACATGTCATTTTAAATCTATTTTTTTTCTGTTTCCAAAATTAAGATTGCCAGTCAAATCACAGTAGTAGTAATAGTAATTACAACTATTTCCTATAGGAAATAAGATATCTCAGGCCTCAAAATTATCTATTCTTTAGTGATACCTCTACAATCTGCACAGCTAGTGGATTTTGGTGCTTTGGTGGGTTTTTATGGCAATACTAATTGCATTACCTGGCAAGCATTTCTACCTCCTTCAGAATATTTCATGATTTTCTAAACTAATTCTTTGTTTTTACATTTTTCATTCTGTATCTTTACTATTGTTGAGAATTGTCTTCTGTAATTAATGAACATCCATAGCCTTTTCCACTACAACTTTTTTTTCCAAGTTAATGAGTAATGTTAGAGCAATTTTTAATGTTCTCATTCTTATACCTATATGACTAGAAATCTTGATCTCTGAACCTCTAAATAGATAATACCAGCCATTCTTCATATCACTTGCACTACAGGACTGGGAGAACCTGAAATATCCAGTCAATGTTAAACCTTGGATGAGAGCTTTTTTACGTTATTTATAAAAATAAATAAATCTCAGTGGAAGAGACTAAATGCAGTAGTAAGGAATCAAAGAGAAATACTTCAAACCAGACTTCAGCAATTAACTGAAACCTGTTTCAAAGTTAATGCAAAAGGACCCTTTATCTGAAAAGTGTCTTCAAAATTTAATATTTTATCATATAATGGTAAAAATAATACCAATTATTTATCAACTTTAATGTTCTAACTTTTAGATATTAACTATTCTGTTTATATAGGCATGCATTAAATGAACTATAATGTGAAAATTGTTGTTACCTATGTATCCACGTCAGATTAATGATATTAAGTCAATAAAAGTTTCCCATGATAAATTATAAGGTCTGATCATGATAAACTTTTGAAAGAATGAACAGATTTGCACTGATCTATCTGAGTACAGGAATTACCATGAATTCATATAAATGGTTGAATATTTATAACTGGTCATAGATCTCAAAGTGTTTTAAAGCATTTTGTTTTCTTTCAGTTATTTTTTACATTTGCATTTTTATCCCAGAACTATATGATTCTTGGTTTTTAATTATGAAATATTTCTTTTGCAAATAAATATTGTCTCACACAGGTCTCATCGGAAGTCATTATTAGTACTTTATAATATAATATGTGGATAGTGGGCAAATGCTTTTACAGGAATTTTAGGTAGAGATTTTAAGTAAGTGAAGTTTAAAACAACATTATATCCAGAAAAGTTGTCTATCTCAGTAATCTAAATTGTCCATAAGAGCAGACATATTGTTGTATAAATGGTGATTGTTATGCAAGCTATACTAAAGTATTTAAAAAAATTAAAGGTAAATAAATGAACAATTAAATAGAATTCCAAGAATATATGCTTAGATATGGTACATGATGAGTTATGCTTTTATAAAAAATTAATGGTGTGGAACAAATATCTGATGGCTAAACATAATCCTTCTACTTTTAGATTTTTTAGACATGGCTATAGGTTTGAGATAGTCATATTCATACACATTAGAACAATTAATATAACTATGTATAAGATAAATCACTTTTATTATAAGTTTTGTGTTTTTTGCACAGACAAGGTGATAGCAAATTAGTAGTAGTTTTTTGTGATCTTTTCAAGACAGTGTGTCTCTATTGTGGTTTGTTATGTTTTTTTTTAATTTACATCTTATATGCAGGGGGTATTTTATGGCAATGCAAGCATATTCTAACACTGATACTACTACAACTGGAAGTTGTTATAGCATTGGTGCTTTACCTGTGTCTTAGCTGTGATTATTGCCTTTGGTATTGTTATATTGCTTATGAAGCAGATCAGTTTTACGTCAGATCAGCTCCCAGTAGGGGCAAAAATAGATTAATTTTTTTTTCCAAGTATTTATACATAGTCTGAGAGGATTAACTTTCTTGTATAGGCATGATAGGTACTTTCTTATGGCTCAAGATTCCACTTCAAAGTAAGGTATTTCAGAATTAAGTGCCTAAGCCTTTTCCTTTCCCTTTTTTTTTTTCTCTGACCTACATTAGATATATGGTGTTAGAAGGTGGAAAAGGTTTAGGTTTTTTTTTTGTTCCCAAACAGTCAGAGCACTATTTAGAAGCAGATCTTCTCTTGGTATTTTCTTTCTGGTAAAAAGAAAAAAAAAAGAGAGAGAGAAGAAAAAAAATAGCACGGCTTACATTTTTATTTGCACTTTTCAATTTTCTTCTCCAAGCGGTAGAGGATCCAGCAAGGAGAGGTGCTATGCTGGACCTTCTCAGCAACAAGGAGGTGCTGGTGAGGAATGTGAAGCTCAAGGGCAGCTTTGGGTGCAGTGACTGTGAAATGATGAAGTGCAAGATTCTTAGACCAGTGAGAAGGGCAGAAGCTTGCTAACTTTGACTTCAGGAGAGCAGACTTCAGCCTCCTCAGGGGTTTGCTTGATAGAGTACCGTGGAATAAAGCCCTAGATTAATGAGAGGACCAAGATAACTGGTTAATATTCAAGGATCACCTCCTCCAAGCTCAGAAATGTTGCATCTTGGCAAAGAGGAAGTCAGACAAAACTCCAGGACACTTGCCTGGATTACCAAGGATCTTTTGAAACACAAAAAGGAGGCCTACAGAGGGTGGAAGCAAGGGCAGACAACCCGGGAGGAATACAGACAAATTGTCCAAGCAGCTACGGATCAGATTGGGAAAGCTAGAGCCCTGATAGAAATAAATCTGTCCAGGGTTGTCAAGGGCAACCAGAACAGCTCCTAAAAGAAGCCTAGGGAAAATGTGGACCCTCTCCAGAAGGAAACAGGAGATGTGGGACATGGAGATGGCTGAGGTACTCAGCAATGTTTTTGACTCCGTCTCCACTGACAAGTACTTCATCCATACCTGCCAAGTATGGGAGGCAAAGACAAGGGCTGAGAGAATCAGTAACTTCCCACCATAGGAGAAGATCAGGTTCAAGACCATCTAAGGAACCTGAAGGTGCACAAATCCATGGAACTTGATGAGCTGGACCTGTCGGTCCTGAGAGACATGGTGCACAAAGTGGTAAAGCCACTATCGATCATATTTGAGAAGTTGTGGTATTCCAATGAAGTTCCAATGGACTGGAAAAGGAAGAACATAACCTGCACTCTTAAAAAAGGGAACTACAGGCCAGTCAATCTCACCTTGGTGCTTGGCAAGATTATGAAACAGACTCCTCTGGATACTGTGCTAAGGCACATGGAAAATAAAGAGGTAGCTGATAATAGCCAATATGGCCTCATTAAAGGTGAATCATGCCTGACAAATCTGATGGACTTCTATGACGAGATTACAGTGTTGGTGGATAAGGGAAGAATAACTATGTCATCTGCCTGGACTCGGGCAAAGCATTTGACACTGTCCTGCACAACAACCTCATCTCTAAAATGGGAAGACGTGGATTTGTCGATGGATCACTCAGTGGGTAAGGAATTGAATGGACTGAAAGACATTTGTGGTTAGTGGCTCAATGTCCAAGTGAAGAGCAGTGATGAGTGGCGTCCCTCAGGGCTTGGTATGGGGACCGTCCCAATTTAACATATTTGTTGGTGACTTGGGGAGTGGGATTGAATGCACCCTCAGCAGGTTTGCCAGCAACACCAAACTGTATGGTGTGGTCGACACACTGACAGGAAGGGATGCCATCCAGAAGACCTGGGCAGTCTTGAAAGGTGGGCCTACATAAACCTCATGAAGTTCAACAAAGCCAAGTGCAAGGTTCTGCATATAGGTTGGGGCCAAGAACAAATCCAGGCTGCGCAGAGAATGGGCTGAGAACAGCGCTGAGGAGAAGGACTTGGTGTTGTTTGATGAGAAGCTCAACGTCACCCAGAAAGCTAAGAATACCCTGAAATGCATAAATACAAGCACAGCCTACAGGGTGAGGGAGGTGATTCTCCCTCTCTATTCCACTCTTGTGAGACTCCATCTGGAGTACTGCATCCGGCTCTGGTGCCCCTAACATAAGAAGCACCTGGACCTGTTGGAGTGTGTCCAAAGGAGGGCCACAAAGATGATTAGAGGCCAGGAGCACCTCCTGTGAAGACAGGCTGAGACAATTGCAGTTGTTCAGGCTGGAGAAGAAAAGGTTCCAAGGAGACCTTAGAGCAGCCTTCAAGCCTATGGGAAACCTGGAGAGGGACTTCTTACAAGGGCATGCAGTGGTAGGACAAGGGGGAATTGCTTTAAAATGAAAGAAGATAGGACACATCAGGAAGGAATTCTTCACCATGAGGGTGGTGAGACACTGGAAAAAGTTGCCAAAAAAAAGTTGTGGATGCCTTATCCCTGGAAGTGTCGAGGCCAGGTTGGATGGGTCTTTGAACAACCTGATCTAGTGAAATGTGTCTTTGCTGATGGCAGAGCGGTTGGAACTGGAATATCTTTATGGTCCCTTTCAACACAGGCTGTTCTAAGATTTGATTATTCAATATTTTCAACAGAGTATTTTCTACCTTGTAGGTGGAAAAAATAGTATGTTCAAAGTTAGTTTTAGTGCTTTGCCAAAGGTCACACAGTACATTTGATGGAAGAAATCTGAATTACCAACCATATTGGTAGTTTCTCAGATGGTGTCTTACTCATTCAACCGTGCTGGTAGTATTTTTTCTATTCCCTTTTCTTTACTATCTTCTGCATTTTGAATGGTTAGCTGCAGAGTTATGAACCATTTTTCTTATTTTCATTCTCCTTCAAAAGACAAAATCTTCATTTGATTGAATTCCCTAAAATTTTAAGAGAATTTATTTTCATGCTTAAAACACATATTAAGCAGTTTAAAATTGTTTTTTATGACTTTAAAACCATTGATGTTACAATGCATAAACCATTGGAGGTAAGTGGAAACTTACATTGAAGATGTAAAATAACTGTGTCTTTCTCTTTACTCAGCAATATCTTGTGGAATTCCTAAAGCTCCATTAAATGGTGGGATATTAACTACAGATTACTTAGTTGGCACCCGTGTTACTTATTTTTGCAATGATGGATATAGGCTATCAGCCAAAGAGCTTACTACTGCAGTCTGCCAGCCGGATGGGACCTGGAGCAATCACAATAAAACACCTCGATGTGTAGGTAAGTAACATGTAAAAAGTCTCCAGTAAGAACCTGTATGTACATTTTGTTTATTTATCCAGGCCATAAATCTTCACATTACTTAAACTTTCATCTTCAGGTTACTTTAATCTATGAATTATTGATGGTATTAAATTGTTATGAAATGCATATTTGAAATGTACGTAACTAAGACATGCTGTGACAGCAAAAGAAATATACTAGAGCTTATAGAATACAATCAAACTAATAATTAATTTATAGCTAAATCAAAGTTAATGGTTGCAGAGGTTTATGCAAAAGTCATCTCTTCAGTGAGAGTTGCAAAATTCATATACTGCTAACAAACTCTATTTACTATCTAGAATTGCAAAACCTCTGGGATACTTGTTTGAAACTGCTGCTTATTATTTATATTCAGCCCATCATTATAGTCCTAAACCATCTGAACTTGGGGGAACATCACTGCAGAGAAAATGCATGTTTACTCCCAAAGAGAAGTGGATACCAGCAGTTATAAATGGGATATGAAAACCCAGGTGATTGTAAGACTGATACAGAAATGTCAGATTATCTGATGCACATTAGGATTTGAATTATCTCACCCAATGAATTTTGGAAATGAAAGAAAATATACCCTAAAGTCATTTTCAAGGATGTTCTCTTTCTCCTTTTTTATTTTCTTGTTCTTTTAAATTGCATTCAATCATTCATTTTCCTCTTTCCAAAGGACCAATCCAAATGGAGAAAAATAAAGTAGGAAATATTGTTATGCACGTTAAATTTTTTTTTATTATCTTGGAGTTGTACAATATTTTTGTTCCATTTCTGGAGGAAGAACACATAGAATTAAGACATGAGATTAAAAATGTGTAGCTGCTGAAAAAACTTCAACATGGACATTATTTTATCTGTCACCAATGTGCAGCCTCTCAAATTTCACGGAGTTTGCCTGAGTAGAAAAATACTTCCTGCATTTAAATGTAGCTAACACTTTACTAAAGATTCTGGTGCCTGATGTAAAGTGTCACAGGAGGTCCATCTACAGTGAATTCAACCATGCTGTAGCTTCTGTCTACTGATTGCATCACTGAATACACAATCCCTGCTCTGGCTAGATCATTATTAATTACATGAGAGAACTCATACCTCCTAACAAAAGGCAATTTCAAATACAGCCTTAGTCTTCAAAGATTATGTCACTGTATTTAATATATATTTTTGAATTAATAACAGTGCAGATTTTCCCAATTTGTCTGTACTAAGCCACAAATAACTATTTTTTTTTTTTATTTTGGAAGTTGTTACTTGTCCAAGCATCAATTCTTTTACATTGGAACATGGAAGATGGAGAATAGTGAATGGTTCACATTATGAGTATAAAACAAAAGTAGTTTTCAGCTGTGATCCAGGGTATTATGGTTTGGGACCAGCATCTATCGAGTGTCTTGCTAATGGCACCTGGAGTTGGAGAAATGAGAGGCCTTACTGCCAAAGTGAGTACATGTTGCATCTTGTAGTAGAGAACATTTTCCTATTATTTTTTTAGGTCAGGAATGCTGTACAGTCTAGAAAAATGCAAAACCTTTGTATATTGTCTGCACGCTTGATAAATAAAATAATCTCTCCTTTCAGCTACTTGTCATGTAATGTGCATTTACACACATCCACATCAGTCCTACCATTAGCTGGTGTGCTGATAACCTGCAGTAGTTAATTTTCAAAAAATAAGTAATGAATATTGAGATATTTAAACCAATTAAATGTGCTTCCCACACCCACCCCTGTGAAAAGCAAGTTTCTTCATACATTTGAATTTAGACACCTCTTTTTCGAAACTGCAGGGTTTTGGTTACACTTTGAAGCCCCAGAACTCTTTCTCTTTATGGAACACCTTGTGATGTGGGACATGATTGAGCTTTTGGTGCATGTATCTAAAACGTATCTGTACATTGGTGTAAAAATCCAAACATACCTAAAAAGTTTGCAGATAAGCCAGATAACTGTGGCTTTAGAATTTATTGACAATAAACACAAAACTAATAAAAAAAAAGAAGTTAAAAAATGCAGTTTCAAAACTAGGTATTATTACATTGGAAATTAACTTTAATTTTGATTTCTTTATAAGTAGAAATATAATTTATAATATAGAGTATTTTTAAAAGTTAATTGCAATATTTCACCTCTGCTAATATTAAAAATACTGTGTATATGTCTGTATCTATCTCTCTCTGTGTATATAGATATTTTACATACAAAATTTGTATTTTTAACCCTTTTGTCTTTAAGACAAACTATTTTTCACTGTTTTGAGAAGTTTTGTTTGAAATATTACCACTTTTTTTCAAGCATAAAGTGCACTAGCTGCTTTCACCCTCCTATTTAGTAATAGTAAAGTCTTTTTATTATTAAAAGAAAATTGATAAAGAAAAAATATTATTTTGAATGAAAAGATGCTTTGAATTGTAAATAAATAGCAAGGAATTCCATGAATATAATTCACTCCTTATAAAAATGATATGTGTGAATGCTGAGGTAAGCATGTCATTATGAACTAGAAGATCAAAGCAACGTCTGCCCAGAGAAACATAATTTTAAAACTGACAACAATTGTGGTGTTCCAATATGCAAGAAAAGTACTTGATAAAACCGAAATTAAACTGAATTTAATAATGTTCCTAATGGCTTTTTTAGCTTTACAGAAACAATTTTAATTGGTTCTCCCCCTCTTTTCTTAAGTTTTATTTCTAGGGAAGTAACAGTTTTTATTTGCAGTTTTTAATCTATTTTTTCTACAGAGCAAAATGCTTCAAGGTGTGAAATCTAGTTGACTGGTTGATAAGTATTACTGGTAGATAAGTATTGTTTTATGTGTGTTTGTGATACTTAACTGTACATTTCTGTTTTGTTTTGGTTTTGTCGTGAAGTTATTTCTTGTGGAGAACTTCCTACACCTCCCAATGGAAATAAGATTGGAACTCAAATCACCTATGGATCTACAGCTATATTTACCTGTGACTCAGGATACATGCTAGTTGGCTCTGCAGTGAGAGAATGTCTGTCATCTGGACTCTGGAGAGGAATTGAGACGAGATGTTTAGGTACAGATACTGTCATGACTTGACTATTTTCTTTCTAGCAGACAAAAGTAAGCAAAGTGATCAGCTTGTCTCTTTCTGTTAGCAGAGACATTGAAGAGGGATCTGCATGTGTGTGGCTGGGCGGGTTGTTTTTCTTACCAAAGTATAAGAAATTATCAAATTATATAATTATCTTTTCAGAAATTTTAATATCTTTCCAACATGCAAAACCTGTGTTACTGTATTTATGTATATGCCTTCAAAGTAGAACTATACATAAAAAGCAAGACAGACTCATTCCGTATGTGTCAGCATTAATACATATCCTCAGTAAAATATCTGCATGGTAGCCTGAACTCAGTGGTAGTGTTATGGAATTAAACTGTATTCTTGAAAAGATACAGAAGGAGATAAAAAAAAGTTTGTGCAAACTTTGATAGGACCACTGCAGCCATGTTTCTAAGAGAAAGTCACTATCCGGCCACTATTTATGCAATTTGACACCCTTTACTAGTACATGTTTAGGTATCTTCACCTATTTAAAATACTCAGACATCAGCCCCTAAATTATTTATGAATGAGATGAACACATTAAAGAATTTCAAGGCTTCTTTCTGATTCATTATCTTGTGTACCTTGAACTGGGTTGTTGTCTTTATTGTAGAGACATTGATTTTAACTCTATATGCAATCAAAATTTTAATTTCAGTTGAAATCAAAGCTGTGATAGTATTCTGATTTAGAATGAAATACATAAGTCATATTGTATTTTGTCATTTGTGGAGGCGTGAGTATATTACAGAATATCCATAAACAGAGACTTTCAGAAAATCTGAACTAGTATATATGCTAAATATAGGGGTTTGTTGCAATACCTCTTTGTGTGGATTGCCATTCACCTTTTTAAACTGCTCTCCATCCAAAATAATTTTCCTTCTCTAATACAGCTTATTTGGTGCAAATCTGCACTTAAGTGAATGACTCATGAATGAGCAAAGGTTTTGCTTATCAAACTACAAGTCTGAAGCTGGAATGTTCCCTGACATACAACTGAGAGGGCAGGGTCTTTGTTTATTTTTCACTTTTACAGTGGAAACCATTCAGCAGAGGAGGGGGAAAGAAGAAAAGATCTTCATGTTTGATATTTTTTTTCTTCTAAATTGCCAGCAATTATAAGACAGATTGTTTTAAATCTAAAAGCTTTAAGGTCCCATAATATGTATGTAATCAAAATGTTCTGCTTTTGTTGTTGTTTGTTGGTTTTTTTTTTTCATTTTTACCGATTTGTCTGCAAAAGTTACAGCTATTGGAGTTTGGAGAAATGTAAAAATATTAATCAGAGAAATATTAACCTAAAAACAGCCAAATTGCCTTCTATTTGTGAATAGCATCTTGGAAAAATACTTGCATTTAAGAATTTTGCCAAAATAACTTCATGACAAGTGAAGATCATCACAGAATGAATTGAATTTCTGTTACATTTGCCTGTAGAAATAAAAATGTAATACAATCTTAATAGTACTAACAGGTTGCATAGTCTTTACTTGCAACTTAAAGAAGGCCCCTGCTTCTCAGAAAATATTAGTTATTATTAAGTTCATATGCTATAATGTCCAGGAACAATAAATAGTTAAGAAAACAACTATAGGACTGGAGGGGAAAACAGTAATCTAAAAGACATCTTTCGTATCAGACATAGGAGCGCAGTAAATCTTTGAATGTATATCTTCAAAGCTTTATTGATGGCAAATTGTTGAAGATAGCATGAATAAATGTTTTACAGAAAGAAATAAAATGTAGTACACTTCATATATATAGCAAGCAAAAAAGCATGTATACCTTGGCAAAAAAAAAAACAAACAAAACTAGTGACAGAGCAAATTAATAAAAGGGAGCAATGGCTGCCCTAATTGCTTTTGCAACAGCACTGCCTTCTATGTTATATCCCTGTGCAGAAGTCAGCTTCTTGCAAAGACTCAGACTAAGTCAGTTCAAGTCTTGTTTCTTCCACAAGTAATTTAAGACTTAAGATAGAAGGATGGGTTGAGCTAATGACAAATCAGAAGTTCAGAAATGTTTTTAAGAAGGAAGAGAAAGAAAACACTGTTGGAAGGTGGAGGAAATGGAGGACATTAAAGAAATATTAGAATGTGAGAGAAAAGGAGATAAAATACAGCAGGAAGATCTACAGAGCTGGTATTTTAATGGTTCAAGAAATTAGTTTTTGTGGAACTTATCGGTAAATTCCAGTGTTTGTTTTCAATAACTGAAAAATAGTAAGAAAAAAATTTATTTTCACTTTCTACTTCTAAAGTTTTTCTGCTCACAGCTGTAAATATTTTCTATCCTTTATCACTTTTACTTGCTGAGAAATGTATTTATGCTTGGACTGAGATGACTACCAATGTATTTCTGTTTTAAGTTTTGAAGATGCCTTGCAAAATCACTTAGATGACATTAATGAAATCCTATAGGATAACATAATACCCTTTTCCAACTATTTTGTTTAAAAATACCAGTTATTTTTTTCAAAAGTGTTACTCAAATGATTTAATTTCATTGCTGTGTTAGACAACTTGATTTTCATTCCAATTATGTGTAATTTGAAAAATTATGAAAGGTAAAATAAACAGAAGTCTAAGTATCTGCAACAGAACTTAAAACTAGTTCATGTTGAACTTAGATAGAAATGAGAACTAAAACAGAGGTAAGCTTTATTTCACTGATCTTTTTTGTGTTTGTTTTTTTTTTTCATTCTGGCTTCTTTTTTAAAAAAAGAAGTATAATACTTTATGGATATTGAATCTGTTGCAAAAATTGGAACATTTAACACAACTGCCCTCCTTTCTGAATATCACTTTATTTTTCCTTAAAGAATACCTAAATAACAATGTAGTACTCCACAAGTCATCACATAATAATCTCAGTTTTAATAAAATGTGGTAGGAAATTGAATTCTGAATCTTGTTCTCCATAGCTGGTGAGAAGAAACAATGTTCAAATTGAAAAAAATTAACAAAACAAAAGAGAGTTTATGAAGTAATTCTGTTGTCAAAATTTTCAAAACAAATATTTCAAAATATTTTATTGTGAAAAAAATATAAGAAAAAAATCATTTTAGTCTTTTAGAATAAAATAACAGGCAAAGATAAAAATCAGGACTGTTGTGTCTTCAAGGTTAAAGACTGCCCCTCACAATTTATTGTGCTTGATCTTTTTCTATCCCAAAAACCTGGAAACAGTTTCTGGGGGAAAGTATATGTAATAAATCCTGGTGAAACATTCAGAAACATAGAACGGATTTTTGCTGAATATACTACTTATAAAAAGAAAGTGAAAAATCTGTGATTTTGTTATATACTTTCCTCTTGGAAAAATATTTAAATATGTTTCCTGTATTATTTCAGTTAACATTTCAGAAAGCCTAGTCCAAAACACTGAACAAAGTAAAACTTACAAAGAAAAGTATAGCATGCTTTGAAGAGTCTTTCTGTTGGATACAATTCTTCTTATATATAATGGATGAGCTGTTTTCTTAGATTATTCCAAAGCATTCAGATTTCATACTTCTCTTCTGAACGTATGTAATTTAATTGAGTCTCTCTCAGTTATGTGACTGATAGTAATTGTAAAAGATGTTTAGACATCTCATCAATGAAAGCCATGTGAAAAAACAGGGAAAATTTTTATTTTTAAGCAATAGTTAAACTCATTAGAGGGAAAATATCTTGTGCACACTTTTCTTTTTTGTTGATTAGTGAGGTTACTCCATGTTCTCACATTTCTTGAAGTTGTGACTGTCCTCTTCATCTCAGGTGTACTGCACTTAAAACTTTTTGCCTAATTCCTTCTTTCTCCATTCCTCATGACATATTGATAAAACAGATTGTTTTATATTGTCTCTTTTATTTACCAAAAGTTATTGCTGTTATTTCCTACAGGGAAAGACTCAGCAACTGCTGGAACAATAGTTTTGTTCAGTTTTGCAAATTAGTATTAAACCTAAAATCAATATAAACCATAAAATATAATTACATTATTTTAGTTATTGTAGTTATTTTAGTTCACTTGCAGAACTAAAGACACCTTTATAAAATGCTGTGTCCATATGAATAAAACCACAGAAATGAAGAATGGAGTTTACTTGATGAATAAGGCATAAAGAAGTGTGGTTCCAATACTGGGCTAATACTAGAGGAGTTTTCAATATAGACAGATGGGTAGCAGAAAAAAACTATTTAGGTTAGAGGGTACATTAAATGTCAGCATTTGTACTTCCTATATAATAATATCAAGAAAACCTTTCATCTGTTCTCCTAAGAGAAATATTAAACCTGTGCCTTTGTCTGCATTAAAACAGCAGAAAGAATAGATCATGAGACAAATAATTGATTCTGAATTTTCTATATCTGTATTACATGTGTTTCAGATAATTGTCCTTGGACTGTATCTGGTCTCGTCCTCTGGGCTAAATGTCATCATTACTCATATGATTCTGACTTGTCAAAAAGACCTGTCGATAATGTTGACCACTTTGTCTCCAAAAGGAGATAGAACACTTGTTTTGTGCACCTAGAGACTTCTCAATGTACTTCCTCTGAAAGGAAGCTAATTTGTTCATAATAAAACCACTCAGCACATTTAAGAGTTAGAAGGAAGAGATGAACCAAAATGCTAATGGATACACAACCTTTGACTAGTTAGCTGGGGAATATTTACCCCAGTTTTACTCAACTTTTTTTTTTTCATACAAAAATACCAGTTTTAAACACTAATGAGTCATTAGTGGCAGCTTGTTACTCATAAAGGAAAGAACAGTTATCAAACAGCTCTGTACAGAGAAGTGCTGTCAACAGGGTCAAAAGAATAGCAGACTTACTATCTGGGGCAAAGAAACCATGTAAGCTGACAGTGAAAAATATTCAGTGCATTAATTTACCAGTGGTAGTTTTTATATTTTCCCAATCAGTTTTCAGTCGCTGAAAGGTTTCTCTGGGTATGTAACCTCTGAAGTGTAACAA